TGCCTTTCTCTTGGCCAGTTAAGGTTATTGATCATCCTAATATCAGTACTGTTATGTCTCAGGAAATAAGGTTGCCTGGGGAAATGTTGAAGGATGAGCATTAGCTGTGGGTGCAGTCAGAGCAATAGGGTTAGCAGCTAAGTAGAGGACCTAAGTCAATCCCATACAGGCTCCTTAGATGTTGATTCAGACTCTTTGAGCTCCTGTGAGCCCCGTTAATTGTCTTCTGTGGGTTTTCTTGTGATATCCTTGACCCCTCTGGCTCCTACAATCCTTCCTCCCACTCTTCAACAGGTTTCCTGAGCTCCTTGGCCCAGTGCTTAGCTGTGAGTCTCTGCCACGTCCAGCCTTTTATATTTTGGATTCTGAGAATCAAACTGAAATTCTTATGCTTGGATGGCAAGCACTTTACAGACTGAGTTATATCCCTTGTATCAGAATGGTGTGTGTGTGTGTGTGTGTGTGTGTGTGTGTGTGTGTGCGTGTGTGTGCGTGTGTGTGTGTGTGTGTGTGTCTTATATGTGTGCATGTTTTCACAGGTGTGTGGGTGTAAATGCATATGTGTGAATGTGGAAGAAACCTCTCTCTAACTTTTGAGATATGGTCTCTTATGAACCTGGAGCTCACCATTTGACTAGACTGGCTGGACAGTAAGCCATAGGGATCTTCCTGTCTCCATATAGTCTTTTCTCCCCTACTTATTTGATCTGCTCATTGCTTGTGGTAACCATCACTCTTTAAAAGATGGGTAAGATGGCCCCAGGCAAAGGCACCTCCTGCCGAGCCTGACAACTGAATTTGGTCCCTGGATCCCACATGGTAGTGGGAGAAAACTGACTTCTGCAGGTTTTTTTCTGCCTTCCACTCTCATGTCATGGGACACATGTGTGCACACACACAGACGTATATGAAATACATAAGTAAACATTTAAAAGTATGTGAGACAAAGCTGTTTTTTTCTACTTAGGGTAAATCTTCATGGTATAATTTTTATTAATTTTGGTGGATATTTCATAAGTGTTATAACAATTAACGTATTTAATCTTTTCTTTTTCTTTTTTCTTTTTATTCTTTTTTTGAGACATCTCTATGTAGCCATGACTGTTCTGGAACGCACTAAATAGACCAGGCTGATCTGGAACTCACACAGATCTGCCTGCCTCGTGCCTCCCAAGGCATGCACCACCATACCTTGTATATTTAATTCTCAGAAAGTAAATTCCTTAAGCATTAAGAATTCTACTCATGCCAGGCAGTGGTGGCACACACCTGTAATCCCAGCACTCAGGAGGCAGAGGCAGGTGGATCTCTTGAGTTTGAGGCCAGCCTGGACTACAGAGCAAATTCCAGGATTGCCAGGGCTACACAGAGAAGCCCTGTCTTGAAAAAACAAAAACCAAGCAAAATAATTCTACTCACTAGAACTTTCTTCTACCTTTTTCAGTTGTTCTTGTCCATCATTAACTGACGTACATCCATATTTAAAAATTTTGTTTTTATTGAAACAGGGTCTCATAGCTCAGGCTGGCCTTGATATTGCTATATAGCTCAAAATAACCTTGAATGCCTGATCTCCCTTGTACTGGGACTGCAAACATGTGCTAACACAACCAGCTATATGTAAAACTTATATGCCCTGTATAGCTAATCAACTTGGTATAGTCGTAAAAGTCACATTCTGATAATTATAAAGAAATCTGAGCTGAACACGGATGACGCCAGTAGGCATGCTAACGTGGATAGGGGAATGCTCTGGAGGCCTCAGCCCCACACAGAGAACCAGAGGCAACTAAGAAATGCAATAGCATAATGAGAGAAAAATCTGAAGCATTTTTTCTTTTTTTTAAATCGCTTTTTAAAAAGTTATTTATTTATTATGTATACAGAGTTCTGTCTGCATGTATACCTGTAGGTCAGAAGAGGGCACCAGATCTCATTACAGATAGATGGTTGTGAGCCATCATGTGGTTGCTGGGAGTTGAACTCAGGACGCCTAGAAGACCAGCTAGTGTTCTTAACCACTGAGCCATCTCTCCAGCCCCCTAACTCACTTTTTTCTCCACTAAGCTTTTACATCCTCGGACCTTCACAATCTAAATTTATACACCTTAATAGCTTGCATTTACACACCTTAAGTCACTTCCCTATCACAAGTTAAGCTTTCACGTCCTCAGACCTTTATAACTTGCATTTACACACTTTAAAACACCTTTATTTTTTTCTATCTAATCATTCATCGGGAGATACAATTGGTTGATTAATGAGGGCAGTCTTTGTAAAGCAAGTTACACTGAAATCTGTTTTGTGAGTTTATCTCTTTTTTGGATTCTGGTAACAAGATAAACTATGTCAAGATCTAGTAGTAGCTAGGCAAGTGAGGCTGGTGGCCTGAGTTTTACACGTGAAGAGAACTGAGAAGGCAGCTGAAGCCTTGGAAAGGGAGCTGGACTCTTGTTGCTATTGAAGCTACAGTCAGTCAATCTCCTCAGAGATCTGAGAAGCATAGATTATTACTGGAAATATAATCTAAATGGTCTGTGTGTCAATTAAAATGACAGAGATCCTTTGCCTAGACAAGTTACCTTAGGCTCCAGTGGTCTACATAGTTTTTTTGGAGAGTGCAGTTATAGGTCTTTGACTATCATATAGACCCTGGTCTCTGATTTTTCTGTAGAGGAACAACTTGGGGGACTGACCTTACTTTGACTAGGCAAAGTAGGACAAGCAACCCAAAATTGTCCACAGTTTGACCAGAGCCCTGGCAACAACCGAGGCCTGGGGCATTTTTGTCCAGTGGTTAGCATTACCACAATCCAGGTGTTGTCATGCCCCATCTGTCTTAGGATACCTTAAGGTTTCCAATGCGGGGGAGGGCAGTTCCGTCTATTATGGGAAGCTTAAGCGTTTTAAATGCCATATTCTGTAGATCTGAATAAACAAATTGGGTGCCAGTTAAGGGGGTCCCTGTAGGTGTCAGACAGGGAAGCAAACCACACGAAGAGATAAGGGTGAAAACCCAGTGCAGACTGACTTCACCAACCTGGATCAGACTTCAGGGAATCTAATAATAGGCAGTTTATTCCCAATATATTTAAACCCTGTACAATTTGAAAGAAGAAAAGTTTCCTGGTGTAACACAATCATCAGTGCACAAAGAAGCATAATTACTTTGAAACTCAACTCAGGCAGGGTACATGTCATTTCCTCCAAGAAGATGGGTTCTAGAGATAGGCTACCTTTACTAGCTTAAGGTCTAAGGGTCTGGTGTGGTCTCAGTCACACAGAAAGTATAGAGGTCATTTGGACTATTAAGCTACTTCTGGTCCTGGCCCAGCAGATAACACTGACCACCAGGCTGTTGATCACTTACAACTCTCAGCTTTCTGACAGAAGAACAGGTTCTTCATCTTTCCCATTGAAAAGACAGTGTGCTTAACATTAATGGTTTCTCTGGAGATCTGTGAGCTCAAGGACCTTCATGCTATGCTCCCAACACTGGATAGGTTGTATTTATGTTTTTAGGAATATGTATATATGTATGTATGTGTATGTATATAACAATAATGAGAAAGGCTATTGATTTGAAAGAGAGCAAGGAGGGCTATATTATAGGGAGCAAAAGGAAGGGTTAAATTATGTAATTATAATCTCAAAAACATAAAAGAGAAAATTTTAAAGTCTACTATAAATCAACGTAAGTTTTTTGTGAGTTAACTGTAATTTTAACTATAATGTATATGGTTTCCTCACCTTATAACAAAGTATTCGTGACACAGAATAGAAGCCTTAGAGACACATTCATAGGAACAGCCTAACTTTGGTAAAAGTGGGTGTCTTGGCCTCCTGAATTCACAAGCTTCAGTGATCATGCGATGTGTGGAAACAGGCAGTAGTGAGTTACTGCACACTTGCTGGCTCATAAGAACCAGCTGCACATGTCCCTTCCCAATTCTGAGCTCAGCGATGTGTTTGGTTGCTTTAGATCATTCATGGTGGGGAAGTTCTGTAAGGAAGTCACCAAGTACTACAAGCTAATATTTCCCATCCCTAGGGGCTGTTGTTACACCTTCCTTGGCACACTATTGTGTTTGAGCAGTTGTTAGAAATTCAGTTGCAGAGAGGGAGGAGTGATGAGCAAAGGAGTCAAGATCAGGCTGGAGAAACCCACAGAAACAGCTTACTTGAACAAGGGGGAGCTCATGGACCCCAGACTGATAGTTGGTAGTGGATCAGTATTTATCCCTAGTATATGAATGGACTTTGGGAGCCCATTCCACATAGAGGGATACTCTCTGAGCCTAGACACACAGGGGAAGGCCTAGGCCATGTTCCAAATCATGACAGACTTTAAAGATCCCCCATGGAAGGTCTCACCCTCCCTGGGAAACAGAAAGGGGATGTGATAGGGGGTTGGTGGTGGGCAGGGCAGGAGGGAAGGGAGAGGAACCTGGGATTGACATGTAAAACAAGATTGTTCCTAATTTAAATAAAGAGAGAGAGATTCACTGCAAAGCTTCCAGAATACTTGAGACTACAGTCTGCTCAGCTTCTGTGTCCTGTGACATCTCCAAGTTCTGCATACAGTCGCATTCTCTGACATAGAGACTTGCCATCTTCATTGTGGTCAGTGAAATAGCAGAGATCTCAGCTCCAGGAGGTGCTGAGTGGCGACAGTAAGGGTCAGAGTGGAGTGGTGGAGGGATTAGGGTCACAAGTTAGGTAGGAGCCTGTACATTCACAGTATGTGACTGGAAATCAGATTCCAGGGAAAAGGAAGGGGGAATCTGTGGAGGAGACTGTTATGGGTGCTTATTATATATGCTAAAATATAAGTTCAGCTAAATCAAAATGCCAGATAGCTCTGAAAGTAACATCAGCTGTGGCAGATTATTTTAAGAATATTTGAAAATTCATGTTTTTGTGATAAGTAAAACACCTGCTTGAATGCTAAGTTCTTCTGGGAGTTTATTAAAGTGGTTTATTCAAATGCTTTTGTTTAGGGTTTGAACTACAGTTCCGGTTAGGCCCAACTTTACAAGGGAAAGCTGTTACCCTGTATACAAATTACCCATTTCCTGGAGAAGCATTTAATCGAGAAAAATTTCGTTCCTTGGATTGGGAAAACCCAACAGAAAGAGAAGATGATTCCGATAAATACTGTAAACTTCATCTGCTTCAGTCTGGATCTTTTCAGTACTACTTCCTTCAAGGGTAAGCCAGGAGTTAATGTATTCTGTTACTTAAATTATCTGACTGTGTTACTGTGAGAACCATGGTGGTGCAGGTTTAACAGGTTTTTTGTTTGTTTGTTTTGTTTTTTTGAGACATGTTTTTTCTGTATTGCTCAGGTTGTTCTAGAACTTGCTCTGTAGGCCAGGCTGGCCTCAAATTCAGAGATCTGCCTGCCTCTGCCTCCCAAGTGCTGGGATTGAAAGTGTGTACCACCTGCCTAACTACAGTGCTCTCTTGAGATGCGATTAGGCTGTGATTCTTCAGTTTTGGTGAGGTCACTGTATGGCCCATTACAAATTCAAGTTGTCTGTAGTTAAAATCCAAGCTTTTCTTGCCATCAGTTTGGAGGATACTATTTATTTGAATGGTATTGTTATTGATTGGCATTAGCATATTTATTTTCTAATAAATCAATGTTACTGGATGTTGTATTTTATTCTATGGAAATCAATAGTAGTTGAGAAAGGATAAGAAATACCTGTTCTGGGACTGGAAAGATGGCTTAGTGGTTAACAACTTGAACTGCTCTCATTGAGAACCCAAGGTTTGTTCCCAGCCTCCACATCAGATTGCTCACAAGCTCCAGTAAGTCCAGCTCCAGGAGACTCATCACCCTCTTCTAGCTTCCATAGGCATCAAGTGCACATACCCACACACTGACAGACATGAACACATTATACAAAAAAAGAAAAGAAACACCTATATATGCTTTACTGCACCCTTGTAAATGAGCTTTTAACAATGATTTCTTTATTTTTATTTTATGTGCATTGGTGTTTTGCTTACATGCATGTCTGTGTGAGGGCTTAGGTTATACCAGAACTGGAATAACAGACAGCTGTGAGCTGCCATGTGGGTGCTAGGGATTGAACCCAGGTCCTCTGGAATAGCAGTCGGTATGCTTAACCACTCACCGAGCCATCTCTCCAGCCCCTATAAATGGCTTTTGTATACTTATAAGTAAACATATTTTATCCATGTGTGGCGGCACAGGCCTGTAATCCCGTCACTGCATATATAGAGATAGGAAGATCTGGAATTCAGGGTTTTCCTCAGCTGCATAGTAAGTTTGAGGCAGCCTGGGCAACATGAGACCCTGGGTGAAAGGGAGGGAGGGACATACGTACGTACAGAGGGGCTTAAATGGGCAATTAACCTTCTAGGTAGAATCAAACTGAATTAATGATTTTCCTGTAACCAATTAAAAATGTTGGTCTATTTTCCCTTAGAAATGAGAAGAGTGGAGGAGGTTACATAGTGGTGGATCCTATTTTACGTGTTGGAGCTGATAACCACGTGTTACCCTTGGACTGTGTTACTCTCCAGACATTTTTAGCCAAGTGTTTAGGACCCTTTGATGAATGGGAGAGCCGTCTAAGGGTTGCAAAAGAGTCAGGTAGTTTTCAGTTTGCTTTCTTTTTCATTTCTTCTTTTTAAAACTAAACACAGTTGTGATAATGCAGGTCTCAAAGGCATTCCTTCTCATTTTAATCTTGCTTGCTAATGTAGTGAAAAAAAATGAAATCTGTAACTTCTACAGATATCAGGTTATATGGGTCAAGTTAGCAAAAGGAGGCATTTGGTTATGAAGTAAAATGATTATCATTTATAAGATTTTATGTGGCACATGAAAGCTAGTAATAAAGCTATTAAGATGTGAAGGAAATGTATTATTATATACCATTTTAATTAGCCAATATTGATTATCCATTTTTCGTATAAAAAGGCATATGCTGCTGAACACGCCAAGAATAAAATGAAACTGGACTTTATTTTCCTCCTAAGTAAAGTAAGACTAGCATCAACATTCTAGTTTCAAGATAAATATACTATAAAGAAGGGAATAAGCCGGGCGGTGGTGTCACACGCCTTTAATCCCAGCACTTGGGAGGCAGAGGCAAGCGGATCTCTGTGAGTTCGAGGCCGGGCTAGACTGACAGCCTCCAAAACAATACAGAGAAACCCTGTCTCGTAAAACCAAGAAGAAAAAAGAAGAAGGGAATAAAGTTTCCATGGCATAACTATGATGGATGCTAGTCCCACAGAATGTTTCAAGTATTACGCTTGTGTAGGATGTTTTGTACATGCAGCTCTGTCCTGTTAGCAATTACAATTGAGCCTGATAATAGCTAAGCACTGTGGTGATGGTTACTAAATAGATCATGTCATTACCCACCTCTCATAGATGAGGACAGTGGTAGCCTGGAAGCCATATCAGTAGATTTGCTGGCAGTCTTTTGTGGTACAGCTAGGGTTGGAACCCCAGTCATTGGTTCCTTTTCAACTGACATGTTTGTCTTACTGTTGATAAGTAGCTAAGAAAGCTCATGTTTATTCCTTGCTTAGCTCCAGGTTGATCTGTAGTGACCTGTGTTTTCTTATTTGTAGGCTACAACATGATTCACTTCACCCCACTGCAGACTCTTGGACTGTCTAGGTCATGCTACTCCCTTGCTGATCAGCTGGAATTAAATCCTGACTTTTCAAGACCTAATAAAAGATATTCCTGGAATGATGTTGGGCAGCTAGTAGAGAAACTGAAAAATGAGTGGAATATTCTTTGTATTACAGATGTTGTCTACAATCATACAGGTATGAGCTTCAGTGATTTCAGTGTGGATATTAAATTCTTATTATTTTATTTATTGATATTTTGATTTCATTTTACATTATTTTTGTTAGTAGTAGTATTTTTCAGTGTGAGGAATTGAACACTGAACCCCATAAATGCCAAACAAAGCAAGCTATCTGCCACTTAGGCATGTCTCCAGCCCTTAAATAACATTTATTCTAAAGATCAAAAAGACAATTAAGAGGTCTTCAATTTTAAAAACCATTATAGAATAATGCCTTTTTACTTTCAAAAAAAGTAGTGTTGAAGTGTTGATGTGACAGACTTTGATGATTCCCCATGGGAAGCCTCACCCTCCCTGATGAGTGATGGAGGGGGATGGGGGCTGGTTGGGGGAATGGGAGGACTGAAGGGAGAGGAACTGGATTGACATGTAAAATAAGATCGTTTTTAATTTAAATAAAAATTAATTAAAAAAGAAAGTAATGTTAGGTGAGCATATAGTCAACGGAAGCACTTTGCATGTGATGCTTGTGAAGTAGGATAAGAAGCATATGAGGGAGGGAAGACATGTTTCCACCTGAATGCAGTCAGTACTTTTCAGACTGATGGGATTCTGGACAACAGGAACCCTTGTTCTGTACCACACATTTTAAAATACAGTGCTGAACATGGTAGGTGTGTCAGTAATCCTAGAACTTGGAAGGCAGGGGTGGGCGATTACTGTGAGTTCAAACAAGCCTGGGTTGCAAATGAGTTGCAGACCAGAAGGGCTGAATTATGAGACTCTGTTTCCAGAAACCCAGTATAACAACAGCACTCTTCACCATTGAAGAGAAAACTATTGATAAATCCTCAAAGTTAAATCTTTTACATGATAAAAGAGTATACTTCAACATCTAAAGTACTAAGAAGAATAAAGTTTAACTGTGTGAGTCCCCAAATAGACGTGTGGTTTTCCTGACAGTGATCCTCTAAGGAGGCATTTGTTCCTCTCACTTGTCAGAGCAGCTTGCCTGGCCGCATGGAGCCCGCCATGGCCTTCCACCTTAACCCCATGCGCCTTACAAGGATCCAGTGTGTATACCGCAGTGTGGAAAGTCTGGAAACCACTGTTTTACATATGTCAACAATGGAAATTCTGGCTGATGTAGTTTTAAGGCGTAGCTGTTTCATAAAGTCTTTCCTAAGAAGCCATAGAAATTATGAACAAAGTTGGATATTAAAAAAGATACATTAAGGCTGGGCAATGGTGGCATATGCCTTTAATCCAGTATTTGGAAGGCAGAGTCAGGCCGATCTCTGAGTTTGAGACCAGCCTGATCTACAGAGTTCCAGGACAGCCAAGGCTACACAGAGAAACACTGTCTCAAAAACAAAACAAAACAAACAAAAAAGATATATTCCAAAATATGATGTTTTGCTGGGCAGTGGTGACACACGCCTTTAATCCCAGCACTCGGGAGGCAGAGGCAGGCGGATCTCTGTGAGTTCAAGGCCAGGCTGGACCGATAGCCTCCGAAACAATACAGAGAAACCCTGTCTCGTAAAACCAAAAAAAAAACAAAAACAAAAACCCAAAAAATATGATGTTTCTACAGGTACTCCAGGCTTCAAAGTCTACAGTGAGAACTTTGTATTTCAGTAACTCCATATTCACCACTTGAAAATTGGTAGTATTGATAATATTAGACAACTATACCATCCATATGAAATTAACAAGCCACATGCAGACACGTAGCTACAAATAGCAAGTGTTAGAATACAGCTTAGGCAATGGCTCATTAAGAAACTTAATAAGAAATTGTATTTATCTCTTTCAGAAGACAGGCATTCCAGGATTAGTGTTAACTCAGCCATGATGGTGCTAGGTTCTTCTGGGTTGCTCTGTCATCTCCAACCCCTTCAGTCAATGTTTAATCAAATATGGCTGCCCACATTGCATCAGATAGGATTTTTTGTCTGATCACACCTAGCTACATGGGAGACTTGCAGTATTGTGTTTGGTTTTTGGTTTGTTTGTTTGTTTGTTTGTTTGTTTGTTTTTGAGACAGGGTCTCACTTTGTAGCCCAGGCTGGCCTGGAAATCACTGTGTAGAACAGGCTAAGCATTAAATTTATGCTAATCCTACCTTAGCCTCCCAAGTGCTGGGGCTTATAAATACAAGCCACCAAGTTGTGCAGTGGTGACACATGCCTTACCCCAGCTCAGGAGGTAGAGGCAGGTGGACCTCTGAGTTGGAGGCAACCTGGTCTACAGAGAGAGTTCCAGGCAGGGTGACACAGAGAAACCCTGTCTCAAAAAAATCACTAAATAAATGAATATAAACCATCATGCCTTAACATTTATTATCAGATCTGTGTTCCTAATGTATCCTATATTCATCCAAGTGTTTATTTATTGCAGGTATAAATAAACACTGAGTAAGTAAGTTACTAAATAAACAATAAACTAGAAATAATAGTGATTGTATAGTTCAGTCTGACTCCAAGATGTGTTCTTCCCTTTTCCTTAAGCTGCCAATAGTAAATGGATTCATGAGCATCCGGAAGCTGCATATAATCTTGTGAATTCTCCACACCTGAAACCCGCCTGGGTCCTGGACAGAGCCCTTTGGCATTTCTCCTGCGACGTGGCAGATGGGAAGTGCAGAGAAAAAGGAGTCCCTGCTTTGATTGAAAATGATCACCACATGAACGTAAGTGTGTACCATCCCACCAAGTCCAAAGAACACATTAAATGTGTGTGTTCTCATGTGTGTGTATGTGTGTGAAAATGTGTAGAATATGGTTTAATGGCTTAATATGGAGAAAGGAATGTGTTCAAATACATTTGATGTTGTTTTAAAATTTTTCAGTGCATTCGGAAAATAATTTGGGAGGATATTTTCCCAAGGATTCGGCTCTGGGAGTTTTTCCAAGTAGATGTTCACAAAGCAGTTGAACAATTTAGGATACTTCTCACTCAAGGTAAAGGCCTTAAACTAGCTTGTCCCCATCACTTTTTAAGAAGCTTACAGTTAGTCCTAAAGGGATGACTCTCTGTAGTTAACGTCATTGTTAAATTCTTCCATTGTATATTTTTAGCTTCTTTGTCAAAAATCAGATGTTCATACATGTATGGGTTAATATCAGGGTGTTCAATCCGATTCCATTAGTCTACCTGTCTATTTTTGTGCCAATACCAAACTGTTTTCAGGACTATAGCTCTATAATAGAGCTTGAAGTCAGGGATGGCGATGCCTCCAGATTTTGCTTTGTTGAATAAGGTTGCTGTGGCTATCCTGGGTCTTTCGTTTTTCCATACAAAGTTGATTATTATTTTTTCATTGTTAAATTCTTATGTATAGTATTGGTGGGAGTTTTTATACTATAAAATCCCCGCTTTTCTTGGCATAGTGGTGCACGCCTTTAAGCTCAACACCGGGGAAGGAGAAACACATTCGTATGTACACATAGCAATTTCCTCTTTCTCAAATCTTAAAGTTACTAATTAGTAGTTTCTTTGCAAATTATTTTTCAAGGAAAGTCAGAATTTATCTGTAGTTTCATATAATTTTCTCTATAATGTATATACATGTCTCATGTTAGTATCTATTTAATACATACCAATAAGACTAGAAACTAAACCATGTTTTATTTTTTCTTTTCATTGACAATATGAATTTATTATTTTGTTTAACTGCTTCTCTTGACCCCTAATAGGCAGTGCATGGTTTCTAAAGTATTTTATGTTACTAGTGCTTTTGATAAAGTACTTGCAGTATTTCCATCATTCATTTATTAGAACATTTCTTGAATCAGCGTGTTATGCTAGAGACCTTAAGGGCATCAGGATTTAGCGGTGACTAGTGAAGCTGAACTTCAGAAGTTCTGTGTTTTTCTCTTAGGAAAGCGTGTCTCTCATTTTATGTCCCCCTCACTGTGTGTGTGTGGGGAGTATGTAAGTAGGAGAGGGAGGCAGGGAGGAAAGATGCCTGTTAACTTTCTGTTTTATTTTCTATGAAATAGTTACATACTGACAAATTGAAAAAGTAATTCAGCTATAGTCTTCTGTTAATGTTTACATTTAAAATACCATTGTTTCTTTCTTTCAGAAAACAGGAGAGTAACTAAGTCTGATCCAAAGGAACATCTTAAAATTATTCAGGACCCTGAATACAGGAGGCTCGGCTGTGCTGTGGATATGAATGTCGCCCTGGCAACTTTTGTGCCACATGAGTATGTTATGTGCTAGCCCTGTAATGTTACTCATAAATACCAATACTGTTTATTAGAACCTTCATAGAAAATGGAATAAAGTAAGGGATTGATAAGATGATCCAGTAGGTAAAGGCACTTGCTGACGACTTGAAATTGAGCCTGAGAACCCACATATCTAAGAAGAAGGAGAAAACCCACCCTCAAAAATTGCCCTTTGACCTCCACATACATGCTGTGGCATGTGCACACCCACGCATATACACATCCCCTACATCCTTAATAAGCAAATAAATGTGAAAATGTTTTTAAAAATAAAATGAAGTCGTCTGCCACCTTCTTATGATTTCACCGCCTGACCTTTTCCTACATTCTCTTGTCAGGCCTTCCATTAAACATGTCAATAAAGCTTTTTACAATTGTAAAAGCTCTTCACTCATAGCTCAAATCCTGACGAGGGTACTTAAGATTTCTGTGACACTTGTCAGGAAATGTTTAAGTGTGGGGTTTATGAAAGTGCTAAAGTTGGCTTTGCTCTCTCTTAGCCACGGGCCAGCTGCAATTGAAGAGTGCTGTAATTGGTTCCGTCAGAGACTTGAGGAGCTCAACTCGGAGAAGCAACACCTCACCCACTGTCATCAGGAGCAGGTTCACCTCCTTTTGTGTTGCTGCTTTTCTTTGAGTCTTGGTCCCTGATATTTTCATTGGCAAAGTAACACAATTCAATGTTTTCTAGGCAGTCAATTGTCTTTTGGGAAATGTGTTTTATGAGCGGCTGGCTGGCCATGGCCCTAAAGTAGGAGCTGTCACTAGGAACCATCCTTTAGTCACCAGGTATTTATTCTATTTTTTAAAATGTTTTCTTGATGATAATTAGCAGCTGAGAATAGTTAGCTTTTCAACTTGATCTAAATGTTTCTTTTTCTTCAGTACATCATATTGACATAGAAGTTTTGATTCAGAAATGGGCTTAATACTGATTAATTTGTCAGACAGATCTTTAACTAGAAAAACTATCACTGGTTTGAACCAATGCATTCACATTGAAATTTCTGGACGACTGCAAGTCTAAGCACCTGGGCTGGTATCTGCTCATCATCTGGCCAGGGCTTTGGGCTGTCTCAGCGTGTGGCAGGAAGACTACTGGGAGTAAATGCAGATGGAAGACACAAGCATAAGGTGCTCGTGGAAATCCACTCTCAGGATAACCATGACATTTCCCTGGGAGAAAGAACTCACCCAGAAGAGAAAGACACTAGTCCTCTCATGACGGTGTCCTGCCCATAACCAGGACACTTGCCACTGGGCTACGTCTCCCAGCACCATGACTTTAAGGAATTAAGGCTCCACACGTGGTGTGGTGGCACACATCTGTTATCCCAGCAGTACGGAAGGAAGCAGAGATAGAAGAAGTCCAAGCTCAGGGTCAGCCTATGCTGCAAAGTGAGACTGTATGTAAGGGGTGGAGGTGGGGTGTATGTGCAAAGGAGTTAAGGTTCCAATGCATGAACTTTTGGAGATGTACTCTAAGAATAGCACGTGGCAGCAGTAAATTCAGTGTTAGCCAGAGAGAGCAAGCACCTAGCTCCTTACGAAAAAGCATGCAGCAACAGGGTTGGAGAGATGGCTCAGCAGGTAATAGCACTGGCTGCTCTTGCAGAGGCCCTGGGTTCAGTTCCCAGCTTCTACATGGCAGAACCATCCGTAACTCTAGTTCCAAGGGATGCATTGCCTTCTTCTGGCCTCCATGGTCTGGTCACCAAACATAGACACGGTGCACTTAGTACATTCAGGCAAAACACTCATATGCAAAATAAAATTAATAAATCTTTTATAAAGCACACAGTATGTGTTGGGCATCTAGAGGATAGGAAAGCCTAGGTGGTTTCCCTGTAATACTGTGAAGTTGTGAAGGTTATTTCATGTTAGCTATCCTTCACATTTTTCATTTTAATTCTTCAAGTTTTTAACGTTGCTTCTTCTCATTCTCTCTGAGGAGTTTCTTTGTCTGGACTTTCTTTTAATTCTGTCTTCCTAGGTACTTTACTTTCCCTTTTGAAGAAATGGCCTTATCCACCGAAGAATCCATGATCCACCTCCCAGATAAAGCTTGCTTCCTGATGGCGCACAATGGATGGGTGATGGGCGATGATCCCCTTCGAAACTTTGCTGAACCAGGTCCCTGACTTTTCACGTCTCCGTAGATGGGGAGCCGAGAGCTTGTAGAAGGCTCAAACTGGGATCCGTTTTATCACTTTGGTTTTTACAATAGGCTCCTGGTCTTAAAATTGTTTGGCTAGAGGTATCAGAAATGCATCACTTTGAAAGAGAACCTTCACCCCCATCTCTCATGTTCTCAAACTGCATAGCAGTTGTGTGTCTATTTCATTTAGTGTCAGTACATAGGCCTCAGTTTGAGCAGAAGATTCAATTTTTTTAAATGTGTATGGATGTTTTGCCTGCGTGTACGTATGTGTACCACATGCATGCAGTGCCCACAGAGGCCATCAGGTACCCTGCGATTGAACTGATAGATGGTTGTGAGCCGCCATGTAGTGCTGGGAGTGCACCTGGGTCCTGTAGAAAAGTGGACAGGACTCTTAACCACTGAATCATGTCTCTAGCCCCTTCACTGCATTTAAAAAATAAGTTAGCAACCACTTTTGCTAGGCTACATTGCTGTAGGATGTTTTTACTTATGGGCCAAGGAAGTTTTAAGTTAACTGGAAAGGCAAGCTAGAGACCAGTTATTCTCAGAGTCCTCATTACTGAGTATTTTCTTCAGCTTCTTCACTGGCAGGAAACCCATCGCTATGTCTCCCCCCCCCCCCCAGAATTTCAGGGATAAGAATTTATTTCAGTAGCATTACAGTTAATTTTCTAAAAAAATATTTATTTTTAAGAATAATAGTTTTGAGTTAAGTCTTTTCTGTCCCCCACTTCTCTGGTAATTCTAAATGGAAAAAAAAGCCATTCTCCTGTATCTTTCTATGGTTTTAATGTACCTGTTGCTAAAAGGGGTGGGGAGGAGAATTTAAGGGTAGAGATGGAGCTTTAAAGATTTGTGTAAAATTTTGGAGTGTAGTAGCGCACATCTTTAATCCCAGCTCTGGGTAGGCAGAGGCAGGCAGATCTCTGTGAGTTTGAGGCCAGCCTGGTCTGCACAGTGAGTTCTCAAAAGACCTCTCTCAAACAAGAACTAAAGTTTTAAAAGCAGTATGATAATACTGTTACTGGTTTCCATTAAGAGGAACTTTAACTTTTCATATTGAGTTTGCATTTTAAGAGGAGACTCTGAGACTGGAATTTTTAGTTTTATTTTTTGTTTTTTTGAGACAGTGTTTCTCTGTGTAGCTTCACCTATACGTCCTGCCTGGTTACTGGCCAATCAGTGTTTTATTCATCAACCAATAAGAGAAACGTATTCACAGCATACAGAAGGGCATCCCCGCCAGTCTGTAACTCCAATTCCAGGGGATCTTCCACCCTCCTCTGGCCTCTGAGAGCATCAAGTCATACATGGTGCACAGACATACATGGTATACAGATATACATGCAGGCAAAACACCCCTACATATAAGATCACATCATAATTAAAATTTAGACAGACTATCATCAATGGAAGAAATAACAGTTTGAAAACAGCATTGTTTCCTGGCGGTAATTGTCATCCAATTTCATGCACCACTGAAGGCAATTGTCCTTCTTTAACAGGTTCGGAAGTCTATTTAAGGAGAGAACTGATTTGCTGGGGTGACAGTGTGAAATTGCGCTATGGGAACAAACCAGAGGACTGTCCTTACCTGTGGGCACACATGAAGAAATACACTGAGATAACTGCCACTTATTTCCAGGGAGTGCGTCTTGACAACTGCCACTCCACACCTCTTCATGTGGCTGAGGTACGAACGACTCCTTTTCCTTGACAAAAATGCAGCAACGTCTGGTAGCTTCCTGAAGTGTCTGCCACACAGGTCGAGTCTGCTGGTTGCACACGGCTGCTGATTTAGAAATAACATTTGACACACATGACAGCTTATCTAATTCTAACAATCTGGTTTTGATTTTTGAGACAGGATTTCACTGTGTAACTCTAGTTGTCTGGAACTGGTTCTGTAGATCAGGCTGTCTCAAACTCAAGAGATTCACCTGCTTCTGTCTCCTTACTTCTGAGATTAAAGACATGCACCATTATGCCCAGCCTTTAACAATATTTCGATGTAACTGTTTTAGAATACTAGGCTATAAAATGTTTAATAAATTAGTTTTTAAATTTAGAAAAAAGAATCATAATTTTATTTAATAATATGCATAATAACTATTTACTGGCAATATGTAAAATGCTAAGATGTCTTTTAGGTTGCTTCCAATATATATTATTAGCCAATGTAAAGTTGAATACTTTATTACACGTTATAGTGATTATTCAACTTTAGCTTTTATTTTCATTTTAGGGGTACTTTGGGCATTGCACATTTTAGGACTGTGTTCTATTCTACACTGTACTATATTCCTAACCCTTATAATAGACATTTAAACATATCATAGCTAGTTTGAGCTTCACTAATTCAATTTTAATGAGTTATCATCAGAAACATAAATGTAAGCTAACTGTAATCTGTTCTTTGGGCTTTTGAGCAATCTCAGTATTTGCTTTACCTCATACAACTTTGTCTTTGGTAGTTTTTAAAGTGACAATTCATGAAAATATGTACTTATAAGTCAGTTTAGTGGCTTTCAGTGCTAGCACTTGGAGGCAGGTGATCTCTGTGAGTTTGAGGTCACCCTGTTCTACAGAGTGAGCTCCAGGAAAGGAGTGGAGATTGGGGGAGGGGGTTGGGAGGATTGGTGGTAGGGCATGGGAGGAGGGGAAGGAAAAGGAGAGGGACCTGGGATTGACATGTGAAGCAACCTTGTTTCTAATTTAAATTTTTAAAAAAATGAAAAAGTGCTTATATAAAAACATTAACTTATATAGTTCATATGCATTCTCTCTCTCTGTCTCTGTGTGTGTGTGTGTGTGAGAGAGAGAGAGAGAGAGAGAGAGAGAGAGAGAGAGAGAGAGAGAGAGAGAGAGAGAGAGAGAGAGAGAGAGAAAGAGAGAGAGAGAGATTCTATATGGTTTTAATTTGGAGAGGTTTGATAGGAAACATTAGCCAGACTGGTAAAACAGTATTTACCTCCAAAAATTAAGCAGAGAGTCCTTTTTAGCTGTGCTTTTAGCAAAAGTCATATTTGTAACATTTGTAATATTATAGAAATATTATAGAAAATTTAACTTTCAATGATGGAGTCCTTTAGGATTCTGCTTCTTAGCTGATAAAATTTCAGGTATTTTACTCGCCTTTCATAAGAATTCCTTCAAGAAAGAAATTGGTACCAATCTAATTGTTAGCTACCATTATCTGTTTCTCTGGCCAATCATTAACACCAATGTTACATGGGCATCACACACACATGCACACATAGAAATAGTAAGGTGCTAGTATCTGTTGTTGTCTACATGATGAGTTTCACCCAACCTTTACTTAAGATATAATTATCAGTTCTGACTTACTTAGTCACCCAGAGATTAATAATCTTATTAGATGTATTAAGAATAAAAAACCAAGGGAAGACTGGCAGAATTGCAGTGTCCCAGGCTGAATTTTTAATGACACTAACATTTTCCTTTTTTCTTTTTCCTTCCCCTCTGTCCCTATGTCTGTAAAACCTAATCTTCCTTTCCACTCTTGTTGTCTGTAAACCCTCCGGCCCGTGTGTGCTGATCTCTCTCATGATGTCTTACATATGCACATCAAACTTTATTTGGCACTTCCTTTTGCATTTCTCTTGTTTTGTACCTTTCTTACGTCAAATCCACACCTAGTCTTGTCCCCTCCTTCCCTCTCTGTCTTGCTCTCTTCTTTCTTTTACATTTGTGACTGTGCTTTTTGCAGTACATGCTGGATGCTGCTAGAAAATTACAGCCCAATCTTTATGTAGTGGCTGAGCTGTTCACAGGAAATGAAGAGCTGGACAATATCTTTGTTACTAGACTGGGCATCAGTTCCTTAATAAGAGGTAGGTAGGCTCACTGAAGTCTGTTTCCTCTCTGAGATGCTTCGCTTTTATTTAAGTGGATCAGGAGGCATGTCATAGCTTTCTATGCAATAGAACTGAGTCTCCCTTAACAGTTAAAATGTCTAGTTTGTAGTGGGACACTTCATTTCAAATAGAAAGCCCAGTGAGGCCAGATGTGATGGATGACACCTGGAATCTCACACTTAGGAGTCTGAGGCAAGAGGATCACATGTTTAAGGCCAGCCTGGGTTACAGAAGTTCCAGGCTAACCTAGAATATATTTTTTGAGATCCTCTTTGGAAAAATAAAGGCAAAGAAAGCTAGTGATATGACTTAAGAGAGTAAAGGTGCTTGTCTGCAAGCCAGATGATCTGAGTTAAGTCCCTAGATCCCACATAGTGGGAGAGAAAACAGACTCCTGAAAGTTGTCCTCTGACTTGTACACATGTGGGGGCACCTGTGCACACCCATGTCCACAGAATTAATTAATTGATTTGAAAGGGTGAGTCAGAAAGAGAGAGGTAGGTGTGGTAAATTACTGACTCAAAATCAGAGCCATATTTGTGTATTTTGAAAACACACAAATCTGTTTTAACCTAGTATATGATGCGATTTTTAGTTATTTTCAGCATCACAGTGAACAACTGTACCTTTTTTTTTCTATTCAAGTTGTTTCTCCAGTTAAATTGTAGTTAAGTGTTGGTGGCATTTGCTTAATTACTTAACTCCCACTTTTTTTTTTTTTTGGTTTTTTTTCGAGACAGGGTTTCTCTGTAGCTTTGGAGGCTGTCCTGGAACTCACTTTGTAGACCAGGCTGGCCTCGAACTCACAGAGATCCGCCTGCCTCTGCCTCCTGAGTGCTGGGATTAAAGGCGTGCGCCACCAACGCCCGGCTTAACTCCCACTTTTAATAATGTTGATGATGCTGTGAAAGTCAGCCATGATCAGAAATCTAACCTTTGCTTGGACACTCACGAGTAATGGGGATTGTTAACTGCTGTGTGCTGTTCTGCAGAGGCGATGAGTGCATATAACAGTCATGAAGAGGGCAGATTAGTTTACCGATATGGAGGGGAACCTGTCGGGTCCTTTGTTCAGCCCTGCTTGAGGCCTTTGATGCCAGCTATTGCTCATGCCCTGTTTATGGACATTACCCACGATAATGAGTGTCCAATTGTGGTAAGCATCAACCTTTTTCTTGTGCTGACTTATTTTGCTAAATGTTTCAATACTTAGCTGTCTGATGCTTGATGGCAATACTATCCACTACCTTTAAAATGATTGAAATGCCTTGACTTTAAAGTCTTTTGTTGTTTTAAAACAAGAAAAATGTGTCTTACAGAATATATCTACATTAGTTCTTTTGTTTTGTTATGCTAATGGAGTATTACTTTGCATTTGAAAGAACGTGAACTTGTGCTTTTTTCTTTTCTAGCACAGGTCAGCCTATGATGCTCTTCCAAGTACCACAATTGTTTCCATGGCATGTTGTGCTAGTGGAAGTACCAGAGGCTATGATGAGCTGGTGCCTCATCAGGTGTGTTTAATCCACAGGGCCAGCAGCACTGGTCATTTTTTGTCCACACTTTCATTGTAATCAACATGTACATGTGACCACGCTTGGCCTCTCTACAGATTTCAGTGGTTGCTGAAGAACGATTTTACACCAAGTGGAATCCTGGGGCATCGCCATCAAATACAGGAGAAGTTAATGTCCAGAGCGGCATTATTGCAGCCCGACGTGCCATCAACAGACTCCATCAAGAGCTGGGAGCCAAGGGTTTCATTCAAGTAAGAAATGGGATTTTTAAGATTTCTCTCGGGACTTTCCTTCTGAATGAGTGAGTGCTGGTTTCCAGATGGGGTCTAAGCCAGTTTCTCTCCAATTCTTAGGTGTATGTGGATCAGGTGGATGAAGACATAGTGGCAGTAACAAGGCATTCTCCGAGCATCCATCAGTCGGTTGTGGCTGTATCTAGGACTGCTTTTAGGAATCCCAAGACGTCATTTTATAGCAAAGAAGTGCCTCAGATGTGCATCCCTGGTAATAACGCAAGCATTGGTGTAATTACATCCTGAAGTTACATTAGTACATTGTCTTTATATGTCATATATAACACACTGATATATAAACTTGGTTGAAAAACGAACTTAGATGGGGGTACTTTCACTGCACAGAACAAAATCTTGACAAAAATATTCCCGAAAAGTGTGAAATACTTTTGTTTGCATTTTAACATACTCCTTTTTCCTAACATATATATAAACATGTGTTTCCTTATACTGTAGATGACATGTGTCTGTTTCCATTTTTACATATGTATAACATATACACATGTACTATATATATATATATGCATATGTACGTGTGTGTGTGTGTGTGTTTAAAAGGCAAATATTGACTGCTCATAACCCATCTTCATCTACCATCCTAGCCATCTGCCAATCTGGCATTCAGCCAAGTAGATATTTTCACTGTTCTCCAGGTAGTCTTCTTACCCACCTATATATGATGATTTATTGCCTTCAAGGACTGAAGTCCTGCCTCTAAGAATATAGACTGTCTCTTTGGCAGTTATATGTCCCTGAGATCTTCTGTTATTGTTGGTTGATTTTTTTGCTAGATATTTACATTTTATTCCTTACTATTTTAGATAGTATAGTATAACAGCATACTCCTACGTAAATGGCAACTACTTGATAATTGAATGAAGTATCTCAAAAAAAATCATCGTGTGTGTGTGTGTGTGTGTGTGTGGCTGTGGCTGTGGCTGTGGCTGTGGCTGTGGCTGTGGCTGTGGCTGTGTGTCTATGTATGTGTATTTTTTTAAGGTGACAGGGCCATGGTCACATAGGTTAGCCTAAAACCAGGTACTTACAGGTGCTGTTCTGCGCCTCCCAAATTGCTAGGATAACAGATACACACATCCATGCCCAGCCCATATTTTGTATTTCTTGCTAGTTGCTAAATATTCATAGTTTCAACTCTTAAAAATTGTCAACCTAGCTGGGTAGTAGTGGCACATGGCTTTAATCCCAGTACTTGGGAGGCAGAAGCAGACAGATCGATGTGAGTTAGAGGCCAACCTGGTCTACAGAGTGAGTTCCAGGTTAGCCAGGGCTACACAGTGAAATTCTGTCTCAAAAAACAAACAAGCTGGAGGGTGGTGGCGCACGCCTTTAATCCCAGCACTCGGGAGGCAGAGACAGGAGGATCTCTGTGAGTTCGAGGCCGAGCTGGACTGACAGCCTCCAAAACAGTACAGAGAAATCCTGTCTTGTAAAACCAAAAGAAACAAAAACAAAACAAAACAACAACCAAACAAAAATTGTCACCCTAAAGAATTTTAGGATTAAATATTCATTATCTGCAATTTCATAAATTTATATTTGGTGATCTAGTCAGGTCTTTGCTAATGTTCTTACTTAGTTTTTGTTTTGTTTATTTAGTATCTTTTGGTATTGGGTGTTAAACCCACACATGCCAAGCATACATTGTTTCACTGACCTACACTCAAAACTCATAGTTACTATACAGTACTATCTCAAGTTTTGTGTTGACCCTGATCATTCTCAAAACATTTCCATTTTCCAGTTCACTGATTGTAATATCAAGAGTCTCTCTGCAACATTAAAATTTGAATGTACATTAGAATAGTTTTTGTTGCAATGTTTATATTTTCCTAGGCAAAATTGAAGAAGTAGTTCTTGAAGCTAGAACTGTTGAGCGGGATACAAAACCTTATAAAAAAGATGAGAATTCAATCAATGGAATGCCAAATGTGACAGTGGAACTTAAAGAGCATATCCAGGTATTCGAGTTCTAGCTTTTTACTGTGTTTAATGTTTTAAGAAAATTTAGTTAATGAATGGATTTTCTGTATTTTTTCAAGCTTCATGAAAGTAAAATTGTCAAACAAGCTGGAGTTGCCACAAAGGGTCCCAATGAATATATTCAGGAAATAGAATTTGAAAATCTATCTCCAGGAAGTGTTATTATATTCAGGTATGTTAATTAGCGTTCAAACTATTGCTTTTACTTACATTGAAAATAGTTTTGGGGGCCTGGAGAGATAGCTCAGTGGTTAAGAGTGCTTGCTGCTCTTGTAGAGGACCCGGGTTCAGTTCCCAGCACCCATGTCAGGTGGCTCACAACCACCTATAACCCCAGTTCCAGAGGGCCTGATGTGTTCCACCCTCTCTAGGCACCTGCACACTTACAGTTTGTACACACAGAGGCACACGTATATATATTTGTTAAAAATCTAGAGAAAATAGCTTATCTTGTTAAGTTTGAATATACTAAAAATTACCTGTTTTTTTATAAACATTATTCAGAGTTAGTCTTGATCCACATGCTCAAGTCGCTGTTGGATTTCTGCGAAGTCACCTGACCCAGTTCAGCTCTCACTTTAAATCTGGAAGCCTTGCTGTTGACAACTCAGATCCTATATTAAAAGTCCCCTTCGCTTCGTAAGTATTCCCTATTTTATAGATTTACCACTTTAACAAAATGATGAGCCACCCCTGATCTGGGCAAGTTTTTTTTGTTGTTGTGTTTTTGTTTTGTTTTGGTTTTTGGTTTTACGAGACAGGGTTTCTCTGTATTGTTTTGGAGGCTGTCAGTCCAGCACGGCCTCGAACTCACAGAGAACCGCCTGCCTCTGCCTCCCGAGTGCTGGGATTAAAGGCATGCACCACCACCGCCCAGCTGATCTGGGCAGTTTTAAGCGGGCTTTCTCTCTTTGCTACTCAGAGTACAGTCCACAGGCTGTTGGTGTCAGCATCATCCACTGTTAACACTTTAGTCTATCACGTTATCATTTGTGTACACCTTTTCATGCTTATGTATTCTTTCTCTATAAATTCTAGATATGAACATGCCTGCACATGTACATGCATGACTTTTCTAATCTCTGCAAGATTTAGTTGCATACATTATAGTGCTTATCATTTCTTTTTTTTTTTTTTTTTTTTTGATTTTTTTGAGACAGGGTTTCTCTGTGGCTTTGGAGGCTGTCCTGCAACTAGCTCTTGCAGACCAGGATGGTTTCGAACTCACAGAGATCTTCCTGCCTCTGCCTCCCAGTTGCTGGGATTAAAGGCATGCGTCACCACTGCCCGGCTTACCATATCATTTTAATGTCAATATATTATTGTGTTATATATAGCTATGCCATAATAAATGTAGTAATTATCCACTTTGAGATATCTAGAGTGCTTCTAATTATTCCCTATTTTTTGCCTGATTTTTGCCAATATTCCTTTACTATGTGGTGCCACATAGTACTGAAGACTACTCATTTTAGACCTAAGTTAGCTAAAGCTTCAACACTATCCGCATGCTCTTGGCCAAGTTATTTAGAATTTTCTTCCATCTGGACAGTGGGGCTGATAGTAGTATTCACCTCATAAGTTTTGTAAAGATTAAACACGATAAAACATGCAAAACAGTGACACCATTCCTGTCACCTGATAGCTACTTAGTGTGTTTTCTGTCACTGGCACTAAGTTAAATTTCTAGAAATAGCTTTTGGGGTTAGAATGTATCCCATATTTGAAATTTTTCATCCATTCTGCAAAGTTACCTCTGAAAATATCATATTAATAAGGATGTTCAGCTTTATGTAAGAGTTTTCTTTTTGCCAGTAATGAATATATATTATGATAATGTCATATTTACAAAGTATGCAGCCCTCCGTAGAGAGAGGCAAGGATTCAATGCCCACTTTGGGCCTCCGTGCGCTCCTGCGTACACATGAACGTACACACAGAGACACATAGATAAAATTCTTTATTTTTGGCTGCCTCTGGGTTTATTAACTTAGTTTGAGTGACATTACTCTTATTTAATTTCTACCACATTTTGCCCCTTAGTTATTACTTACATTATGATAGTATTTGTTTATTTCAATGATGAGTTCCTAGAATATATATGTGCTTATTAGTTTTTTGGTTTTTTTTTTTTTTTTTTTTTTTTTTGGTTTTTACGAGACACGGTTTCTCTGTATTGTTTTGGAGGCTATCGGTCCAGCCCGGCCTCGAACTCACAGAGATCCGCCTGCCTCTGCCTCCCGAGTGCTGGGATTAAAGGCGTGCGCCACCACCGCCCGGTGCTTATTAGTTTTTATTGTCAACTTAATACAGCTAGAGTCACCTGCAAAGATGGAACCTCGGTTAAGGAATTCTCTTGAACAGATTGACCTGGGGACCAAGTATTCAAATATACACACCCATGGGGGCCCAAACCACCACACCACCCCTAGTTGATTTTGACTAGAGTGTTTTATTATAGGAACAGAAAACTAGCTAGAATGATAGATTTCTAAGACATTTAATATTTATAGGGCAGACTTTCTTTTGCTTTCATTTTACAGTAAATGAAATGTCAGTATATTTATTAGTCACCTTTACTTTCTAATTCTTAGCATTGCCTCTAAATTGACATTGGCTGAGCTCAACCAGGTACTTTACCGATGTGAATCAGAAGAACAAGAAGATGGTGGAGGTTGTTATGACATACCAAACTGGTCATCCCTTAAGTATGCAGGTCTCCAAGGTAGGTATAAAGATAAACTTCGTATTTTTTCTTTAGTGGTCTTTATAGAAATGAGTATGAGTTCAAATTATAACTTATGGCTCCTTGTTGTTTGACCATTAGTGAATAGCATAGCTTCTATGGGCACTGCATTCACCTACTATGTAACATACAAAGAGACACACATATACATAAATAAAAGTAGATTTTTAAAGTATGTTACCAGTTTTAAGCTCAGAAGGCTCCTTTCCTGTCTTTTATGGTGTTTTACTAATTCTCTTATGTTTCATGAAGTGACCCAGCTCATTGTTTTAAAATAAAATTGCCCTTATCTGATTTGTTTTTACTTTATATCAGTCATTTTTTTCCTCTCATAAGTTAACAGTTTGGTTAGACCACAGCATTTTCCTATCAGACTGTTAATAGCAGCCATTAATTAAATCAAAATTCAGCCCCTGCATTCTTTCTTTGCTGCCTTGAACAAGATTCCATTCCCCAATTCTTACAATACTCTGTGTTGTGTTTGGAGTCTAGGAATCTTTTTGATGGTTCTGCTCCAGATCCTCAATGGCCAGTTAGTTAGTTGTGGGTTCTTGTGTTCACTTTGACATCCCACATCCTTTTACTCTCCATACTTAGCACCTATCCCAAGACTAAGTGCTTTCTGTAAACCAGCTAGCCAGTTTTCTACCCTCTTGTTACCTCCTGCCATTGCATGCTGCTGGTTGCTGTTGCTGTCAGCTCTGTTTTCTGAAACCGTTTTTCATTGTCATTGCACAATTCAGCAGCAACAAATGCTGAGCAACGATCGCCTCCCCTGAAAGTACTGGGACATAGGTAGGACGTCTGTAACAATATCTATGCTGCCTTGTTGTCCATATTGTTTTGAAAGTTACATTTCCCAAGGAGAATTAGGAACTTCTTGAGTGAAAAAAAAAATCCTACCTCTTTTTTTTTCCACAAAAACTCTTACTTATTTTGCAATAACAATACATGAAGAGATCCAAACTGTAAAACTCAGTCACAAATAAAATTAACAAACACTAAATAATGCTAACATTCAGCAGCATTTAAAACCCATTTGAGTCCGTGGTGATTGAGAATACTGCAAATGTTAATTCCCAAAACATTAGATATGAAAATTCAAAGTTGGAACCATTGCTAACACTTTTGGAAGATTTTTATGTGTTGTGTGCTTGTGGAGTTTTGACTGATGATAAAATCTTCATGTTAATCAGAGCAATGGGTAACATAACACCCAAATTCACTACAGCTTTTAGCCATCTCAGTTTCTCTTTGCCTCCTCATGCTTGGCAAGAGTGGCTGTATGTCAGTGTTATTTACTTGTTATCAGCTTAGGCAATGAATTGTACAGTCAAGAGTATCATATATTTTCTTTCTTTTGGCCAATTCTATTGATTTAGTTCTTTCTCATTGGCAGATAAATTCAGCTTATGTAGCAGCAATTATCCAGAGGGAACATTAATAAGATTCAGAAAATATAAGGATCTTGCTTAGCCTCTCTAAAATCCTACCTCTTAAATTCATTGTTTTTAATTTTTCAAAACATCATATATTGTGAAATTCAGTAAATTGTAACCAAATGAATTTAGTTCAAATGAAGCCAGTGAAGCCAAATACTGTTTTGAGGTAGAAATGATTATTTTACTGGGAGATGAAAGTATAATTGTTTTGTAACAAAGTTACAGAGTCTGCTAATTACAGAAATGCTAATGACTCTAGAAGAAAGTCTGCATAATAGTCATTATATGCCCAGCCGCTCACTTGGTGATTTTCTTTAGTTGTAAGTATTTCCTGTTATATTTCAGAGGCTGCTTCTGAAGCTGTGTCATTATCTTCCTCTATTGGTAGTCCTGCTTCCTCTTAAACCAGCTTTGTGACTTCCTTAACTCTTCCCTAAATGGTAACCTACCACTTGCTAACACAGAAATACCCAGGCTTATCCGTTTTATGCTTTAGGGTCGAGAAACCATGCCAGTTGCTTTTGAATGTTATAATGTGAAATATAAATAAGTAAAAGCAGTGCTAGAAGTTCTCACTCTCAGGAAGCTCCTTATTGTTTTTGCAGCAGTAGACCCCTTCAGTGGCCTTTGTGTCCTGGTTAAAGTAGGTACCCTGATACTTCTCTCCAGCCATGCCACATGCCATTGTAGACTGAGAAGCCTGTGTCTGCCTTTATATATATTCACTCTAATCATCAGAGACTGCCCACAAGCTAAGCAATGAGAACATTTTGACTTTGCCAACAGCGTAATAATGTCTGAATTTCCAGGATTAATGTCCGTGTTGGCAGAAATAAGACCAAAGAATGACTTGGGGCATCCATTCTGTGAAAATTTGAGGTCTGGAGATTGGATGATTGACTATGTCAGTGGCCGGCTTATTTCACGATCCGGAAATATTGCTGAAGTAAGTAGAATGATATTCTAGTCCAAATAATCGAGGGACCATTAAGAATTATATATTACTCTGTTACAGATAATATTTAAGTTTCCTTGAACTGTTTTCCTTTCTTATTCATTTTTCCATTTTAGAGTGTCCATCTGGTTGCTGGGTTACTTACTGGCTAGCAAAGTTGCATGTGTAGATTCAGTTCTTAAAATATATCTAGGCTGTATACAGCAAGTTAACTGTTCAAATTATTTCTCTGACAGGTTGGTAAATGGTTGCAGGCTATGTTCTTCTACCTGAAGCAGATCCCACGATACCTTATCCCCTGTTACTTTGATGCTATATTGATTGGTGCATACACCACTCTGCTGGATATAGCATGGAAACAGATGTCAAGGTATGCACCCAACATAAAGAAGTAAATAGGCATAGTTGTATGGAAACGATAAAGAGAGAGTCATTCTGGTTTAAAAAGACCAAAACCTAAGGAACTGTCATAGCAGAGACTCTGAGCTGAGAAACTTTATAGACGGACAGTAAGTATGTTAGCACCCTTTAGTTTGGAACATGCAAAACCAAATGTAGAGTTTGGGTGGGGTTTGATTTGTTTTGAGACAGGGTATTGAAGACTTCAAGCAGACTGTGTAGGCAAGGCTGATCTTATGCTTCTGGACCTCTAGCCTCCACTCCCAGATGCTGAGATTATGAGTATGCGTCCAGTTTATAAGTCATGAGGATTAGACTCAGGGCTTCATGCACACGAGATAAGCACCCCCCACACACAAACATACACACCATGTGCACATACACAGTAATACAGTTATAAAATTGATGGGGATGTTTGGGTGTCTAGCTCAGTAGAGCATCATTTGCCTAGCAGTCATAAGGTGTTGGAGTCCAGTCCCCAGCTTGGGGTGGGAAGTTAGGGGTGGGGTTTAAATCTGGTCTACAAAGCATGTAAAATATGATATGGAAAAAATAAAAATATTTTACATTGCTTATTTATTCATTAACTTAAGTCACGTTTAGAAAAGTATCTTAGCATTTTACACATTTCTATGGGAAAATCACTTGGCAAAAGAATGTATAATAAGATTGCTAAAAAGGGAGCGTTTCTGCAAATGACCTCTCAACTTGCCACTTGGTTGCAGGTTTGTTCAGAATGGTTCAACGTTTGTGAAACACCTTTCACTGGGTTCCATCCAGATGTGTGGCGTGGGGAAGTGCCCTTGTCTGCCACTTCTTTCCCCCTCGCTCCGGGATGTGCCCTTCAGGATAAATGAGATCACAAAGGAGAAGGAGCAGTGCTGTGTCTCCTTGGCTGCCGGTAAGGATGCTGGAGGCAGTTAAATGGTAAACTCCATTAGTGCTCAACAAGGAAAACCCATGGGGAATCGGTGGTTTTTATGCTGCTGTTTAGTAAACTGCTTATTTGATAGCTGCTCATTCATGATAATGATCCTCATTCATGATAATGATCCTCACCATTCGGTTGTAACTATGGACTAAGCACTTGTATGTGTTCTTACTGTGGTTGGCTGATCCTTTCTTCTTCAGGTATCTGTTCAATTCCAGTTCTTGGCATTTTAAATATCTTTAGTTAAATTTAGTTTAATAACTTCCCCCTGTATTTCCTTCCTAATTTTTAAAGTAAACCAACACTGCAGTTACAAAACACGTTAGATGATTTTTTTTATCACGTGTCTTCATTGTAGTCAGTTACTTTTAGCTGTATCTACTGGCACCATCTCCTGCAAATAGGTTTAAATCATCTAAGCAAGTAAGATATGCACAAAGAAAGACTTCTCTTTTAGTAAACTTCCAGTGTGTTTTTAGAAAGTATCAGGTAGATGAGGCCACTAAAGTCTAGAATTTCCCATTGCTTCTTGGGGTTTTGGTAAAGTGAAGTATAAAGTTTACAGCGTTCCAAGTTAAACTGAAATATATAAAATATAGCAAAGTAGCAATATCATACGTGGTTCCCTCTGCTAAGTTTAAGCTTTTCATTGGCTCAGGGCAGATGAAAGACTTTGTGGCATCCAACACATTAACTTCTTTACAATTTACAATGATCATATTAAAAGCGTTGGTGGCACATGGCTTTAATCCCAGCATTCAGGAGGCAGAGGCAGAGCGAGTTCCAGGACAGCCTAAAAAAAAAATACAAAGAAACCCTGTCTCGAAAAACCAAAAAAAAAAAAAAATAACAAAACTATTTTAGGGGTAGAATAGTACCCAGTAAGTCCAGGCCCTAGTAAGTTCAGTTCCTTGGCATCACACAAAATATTTTTTAATTAAGAAGAGACATAAAATGAAGTCAATTTTTCAGATTATCATTTTATTGATGGTTCTGGTAGCCATTATTCCCCAAGTCCAAGCTGGTGTTCAGTAGACTGAACTGAAAAGTGTAGGAGAGACACATTGATGGGAACAACTGGGGATTTAAAGCCCAGGTTTCAAGCCTGTTATGCAAAATAATAACCTCGACATTTTTGATTGTGTACTGCTACTACTAAATACACCCAGAAGATAAGTCTTACTTATAAGTCATGTAGTGATAACATTTATGACACTTATATGTAGTCCGTGTAACATACAAATATAAATAAAGGTTCTAGTATTCTGATATCTTAAGGGAGTTTTTTTCCTAATTTACACTAGAAAAAAATAAAGTGATATGCAGATTTGCCAGTAGGTTTTAGTGGAGTTCATTTTAAAATGGGAATGCCTCCTTTTGCAATAGTATTGTCGAAGAAACTTGTAATTAATGTTTATGATAATTGACAACATAGAAATCACCCCCAAATACTGGGTCTATAAGTTGTATACTCCTAGAGGACAAACAAGTAACAAGTATTTCTATATATAAGTGCCAAAGGTTTTCACTTTTGGTAGCTGTTGTTGAGATAGGGTCTTGCTGTGTAGCCAGAGCATCCTCAAACTGGAGGTACAACTGCCTGCCCCTCCTGAGATTTAACGGTTTGGACCGTGATGCCCCGCTCACTTTTAATTTTAAACAACAGAAGACTGCTGGTATTTTAAAGTATGCTAATTCAGATTCACTCTTGAGTCTGCACATGTTGCTTTTAAGATGTTTAGTCTAAAGGTTCCTTTAATTCTATTTTATCTTACTTGGAATGTTCAAGCTAGTAATATGTGAGGTCCTTAATTCTATCTTCAGTAATTGTTTATATGAAAGCATAAGACTTAAAATTATTTCTTATATAACTATATAGTGATGTACTATAAATTTATTACATATACTATGTATATAGCTATATTTATATAGTTATATAGTACACAGTATATATATTATATATATAGCTATATAGAGATACGTAGTATATATGTTATGTATAGAGTATGTGACATATACCATATATAACTATTATATAACCATATGCTATATATAACTATATTTATATAGTTATGTAGTATATACTATGTATCTAGTTATATATAACTATATACATATATAGTATGTAAGGTAAATATAGTGCTATCAATCTGTTGTAAAGTAATGTGAAATTTGGTGATAAACTTTCAATATAGGTAAATTAATAAACATTTAATTAGATATTATTGAACTAGTAATTTCATTTTAGACTTATTTATTGCCCTCAGAGTCAGGGCAGAATCTTTTGAAGTCTGTATTTAAAGTTGTAGTGTGTCATTTTTATATGTTAAATATTTGATCTCTAATTGTAAGCTCTTAATTTAAAAGACAAATTTAAATCTGTTCAGCTAGGAATCCCCTCAGGGCTGGGGTGTAACTGAATTGTAGAACTCTTGCTGAACCGTGCCTTTAATCTCCTTTGGGTCACAGGTGCCTTTCAAAGTCTGATATGACCATGGAACCTCATCCCATAAAAGCTGATATTAAGAGCAGATATATATTTTGCTGTAGAGGATTTTGGAAGGTTCGCAGGCTCCTTCTAGGTTGCCCTTTAGTCTAAACCTAAAGTGTGTGGTGACGGAGTTCATGGGATTGAGCATAATGTTCTCTCATCATTCTGTTGTCTTTTGCCAGGCTTGCCTCACTTCTCTTCTGGTCTTTTCCGCTGCTGGGGGAGAGATACTTTCATTTCATTCCGAGGGCTGCTGCTGGTCACTGGACGCTACATAGAAGCCAGGTAAGAGCCTCCACAAATGGCCACGCAGATCTGCGGCTTTGTGTTCCCTCTTATCCATTGTCAACATTTGAAAAGTACGTTTTCCTTAGATGTTTTTATTTTGTGTTTGTGTGTGTGCAAGCACAGGTGTACCATGTACATATATGGAGGTCAGCTTACTGGAGTTTTCTTTCCTTCCACCATGTGGGTTCTAGAAACCCAATTTGGAGTTAGGCTTGGCAGCAAGCACCTTTACCCACTGAGCTATCTCACAGGCTCCAGACTTTAAAGTCTTATTTCATATGCTTGCTTAATCGGTTTAGAGAATTTTGAAGGTAAAAACAATTTTGAAGTTACTAGGTTTCATGATAGGTAAGATCATCTTGAATATTTGTGAATTTATCTGAAAAAATTAGAACCATTTTCTGCCTTCATATAGAGTGTGTGATTTGGGTGGTGGCTTACACCTTTAATTCCAGCACTAGGGAGGCAGAGGCAGGCAGATTTCTGTGACTTAAAGGCTAGCCTGGTCTACAAAGTGAGTTCCAGGACAGCCAAGGCTATTACACAGAGAAACCTGGTCTTGAAAATTCAATAACAACAAAAGAGTATTGTTGACTGAGATTTGAAAAAGAACTATGTCAAGTTTTCCTCCATTTCTTGTAAAGTTTACAACCCCTAGTTTGATTCCAGGCTGAAAGTGATTTTTCTCATAGAGGGACTCTGTCTCAAAAAGACAAAAAAAGAAGTTCTATAATAGTGCCCTTTTTTGTTTTGTTTGTTTTTCAAAGCAAGGTTTGATTCTTAGCAAACACATGGCAGCTTACAACCATCTGCAACTCCGTTTCCAGGGGACCTGACACCATGTGACTTCAGATAGCATTGTATAAGGAAGACTAACATATACACCGGCAAACCCCACACACATAAAATAATAAATTTTTTTAAAAATTTAATTTGGAGGGCTGAGGGCTGTTTACTTACCTATTAAACCCCCTAAGCAAATGGCTTAGGAATCAGTTATAAAGAATCAGGATTTGGCAAAGCACTGTGACAAAGACCTTTGCCTGTGGTGTGGAGAGCTTCTGATGCTGGTTCATGTCACCAGCTGACAAATGGCACCCTTCCTTCATGCCTTCTGTGGGATGGCCGGCGTACTCACCACACTCCATTAGATGACTGATACAGTTAAAGCCCCACATGGCAGATGCTCTACAAAGGCTTGGGGCGGTTTAATCACTGCTATAATGGTCCCGTCCTCAGCTGTCACTTCTGTGCGCTGTTACAGATTTCTGTCTCTTCATTTTACATTCAGCCATCTAGATCATACATTGTCATACTGAGCTCCATCACTTTTGTGTGGCCTATGAACAAAACTAGAGTAACAACTTCCTATGGCTCTATTAAAAGATAAGTATTAGCTGGGCGGTGGTGGTGCACACCTTTAATCCCAGCACTGGGGAGGCAGAAGGTGGATCTCTTGACTTTGAGGCCATCCTGGTCTATGGAGCAAGTTCCAGGACAACCAGGGCTACACAGAGAAATGCTGTCTTCAAAAACAAAAAACAAAACAAGGGGGTGAGGGCTAAGTATTAAATTAAGACATAATAAGGCCTAGCCTTTTTCAATGGCTTTTGCTAGTTAGACCTCACCTGCTAGATACAAGCTCCTCCTAGAGTACAACTTCAATTTAGGAGTCAAATTCTCATTTGTACTTGAATAATACTATAGGAGATAAACTGTCATCTATCAGTTATTAATGGGAGTTGTAGTTGGCTTTTTGCTGTTGTTTTGGGGTTTTGTTTTATTTGTTTCAAAACAGGCTCTTATCATGTAGCCCTAAATAGCCTATAACTCAGTATGTAGGCCATCTGGCCCAGGATTCACAGATCCTCCTACCTCTGCCTCCCCTGTACTATTTTCTTACATATTTACTTTGTTCTTTAAATATACTATTTGAAGTAATAAACTTCATATTAGAGGATTGCTTCTATATGGAAATAACAGATTTCAAAACCAGAAGTTGGGAGCTGGAAAGATGACTCCCTGGCCACTGGCACTCACTGATCTTGAAGGATTCAGTTCCCAGCACCCAAATGGCAGCTCACAAGCCTCTACAACTCCAGGTCCAGGGATCCATCGCACTTCTCACTTCCATGGGCTCTGTGTGCATGTCCAACACACAGGCAAACACTCATTCACAGATAACGAAAACAAATACATCTTTCAAAAAACTAGACATTAAGCTACGGCAGTCCTTGTAAATTCCCAATTACGAACCTGACTCCAAAGATGAAACACTTGTTAAAGAAAGAGAAAGTACTCTAGATTAGCAGAAAGAAAAGCTATGCTGGGAGCTGGGGCATCTCCCAGACCACTGAGAAAGTGAGCTTTTTTCCTTCAATTTTATAAGTGTTTCACCTCAAATGATCCACTTATTTCTGTTGTTTTAGGAATATTATTTTAGCATTTGCCAGTACCCTGAGGCACGGTCTTATTCCTAACCTCTTGGGTGAAGGAACTTACGCCAGGTACAACTGTCGGGATGCTGTGTGGTGGTGGCTGCAGTGTATTCAGGACTATTGTAAGATGGCTCCAAATGGTCTAGACATCCTCAAATGCCCAGTTTCCAGGATGTATCCAACAGACGATTCTGCTCCTTTGCCTGCTGGGACACTGGTAAAAATCATTTCTTAAAATAATTTTTAATGAAATGTAACTTTATTTTTAGGGTAAAATATTAAGAATCCAAGTCCTAAGAACTTAAATATCAAGAAAAGTTCATTACCAATCTTTATTCAGTGTTGACACTGAGAAGTCACAGAGATTTAAAACTTGATCCTTGGTTAAGTGTAGACCGCATGGGAGCCCAGGAGCTGCTGCTTTTCCCAGCCCTGCCCCACTCCTTACTTCCTCCTCAAGGGAAAGTGTATATCTAGTAGTAAATGTATTACCAGAGTTGAGGGGTTCAGGGGAAAATATGAGTGTAATCCATTCCTAACAGAGGAAACGTCCTTGCTGTCTCCAACAGGACCAGCCATTGTTTGAAGTAATACAGGAAGCTATGCAGAGGCACATGCAGGGCATTCAGTTCCGAGAGAGGAATGCTGGTCCACAGATAGATCGGAACATGAAGGACGAGGGTATGTAATCAACCAGTGGCTAAGACTTACCAGTGCTGTCGAATCAGACCTTGCAGTTCGTTTATAAATACTTGAGTGTTAAACCTGAAGCTTTGCCTGAGAAAGACAAACACTCTTCCTGATCTCCCCAAGCTTGTGTTGCTAAAGAAAAGATGAAAGTTTGTACCTTTTGTCAGCCAAATTCAAGATAATGACTTTATAATTTATTGTGTTGTGTGTGTGTGAGAGAGAGAGAGGGGGGAGGGAGGGAGGAAGGGAGAGAGAGTGAGTGAGAGAGAGAGAGAGAGAGAGAGAGAGAGAGAGAGAGAGAGAGTGAGAGAGAGAGAGAGAGATTTTAGCTGCAAATATATATGTAGGCCATGTACATGCCTGGTGCCTGTGGAGGTAAGCACTGGGAATGGAATCTGGAATCTGGGTCCTCCACAAGAGCAGCAAGTATTCTTAACTGCTAGGCCATCTCTCTAGCCCCTGATATTTAACTTATAATCACAATGTTAGTATTACTTTTTCTGCCAGGTCTGGTAACACATGCCTGTAATCCAGCACTCTAGAGGTAGAGGCAGGACTGTCGTAAGTTCAAGACTAGCCTAGGCTACATAGTGACGAATGTCTATGATCCCAGCACTTGAAGGTAGATCTACAGAGTGAGTTCCAGATCAGCCAGGTCACTACCAAGAAACCCTGTCACAAAACAAAATAAATAAATAAACAAACATAAGAAGGAAGAAAAAAATTATAATTCTATGAATTAAGTGTTATGTGCCAGGCAGGCGCTGTGATAATGTCTTCACCAAAGCTGTTCCTACTTAACTCCTAAGAATGAATTGCACTGGGTTTGAGAGATGGCCCAGCAGTTAAAGTTCATAGTGAACAAGTGAGAAAATTGGAGTTCAGATCTCCAGACCCTATATAAATGCCTGGTGAGCTTAATGATAATTCCAGCCTCCAAAGGCAGAGGCATGGTATCTCTGAACAAGTAAGGCAGCTAGTGAGACCAGCATTTCCTACCACGGAGCTCCCATCTGTTCGAGAGACCCTGACTATACAAAGGTAGTAGAAACGGCTGGAGAAGTTGCTCATCAGTTAAGAGCACCAGCTGCTCTTCCAGAGGTCCTGAGTTCAATTCCCAGCAACCACATGGTGGCTCACAACCATCTATAATGAGATCTGGTGCCCTCTTCTGGTATGGATGAAAACAAAGCACTCATATTCATAAAATAAACAAGTAAATAAATATGAAAAAACAAAGGTAGAAAAAGGAGCAAGGAAAGTTTGACATCAACCTTGGGCCTACACACACTTGCACGTGTGTGTACACCAACACATATATGGGAGCACACATATACATGCATACGCTTTATACATACAAACACCTGAAAGAATTTTTTTTTAAGTAAAAGACTATGTTATGTTATGAAATGAGAGGACTGGAAAGTTGGCTTCCCAAAGCTGCTTGGTGGTAAAGGAAGGATGTCAGTCATGTTTGTGCTATGTAGACCAGGCTGGTCCCAACACCTCTATAGTACTTTATTTGTATAGCAAGTTAAAGTAGTTATACTCTTGTAACTCATTTTTATTTTACCATAGTCCTCATCCTAAGGCCAGCCAATACAAGGCTAATTGTCTCATTTTTCCCTCATTCCTACTCACTTTGAGAATAGTTTTGATGACTTTGGTGTATATTTACTTTAGTGCGAATTTTTCATTGTAATTTAAAAAGAATTGCAGATTCATAAAAAGTTATAAAAGTGATACTTAAGGAACAGCAAATTCTTCCCCCAGGATTTCTTAATGTAACTGAGGTAAAATATAAGAATAAAAAATGTAGTATGAAGCTGCTAGCTAGCCCTCATTCATTTCCACCAGTCCCACATTAACTCATGGGGTGGGCGGTGCAGGTTCAGGAAACTACTACCATATAAAGATGTAGACCTAGTTCATCACCACAAACATTGTTTGGTATCCCACCACCCACTCCAGCTCCATCTGGGTCTCACTACTAATCTTTGCCTCCCTGCACTGTCATTATTTTGGACATATTTATATGAACTCATTGTTAGTTTGTTTTGGGACTGGTCTCTCTATGTAGCTCTGTGTGTCCTGGGAGTCACAGGTAGACCAGACTAGCCTCGAACTCACAGTGATCGTCTGCCTCAGCCTCCTCAGTGCTGGGATTAAAAGTCTGGGCCATACACCTGGCTTTGAAGATACTATATAAATTGAATGTTAAGTATGTCACTTTTTTTTTTTGGACTGGTCTCTTGTTCACTCATCAAGGTCAGGATCTTACTATGAAGCCTAGAACTTGCTATGTAGACCAGGATAACCTCAAACTCATGATTTATTACATATAGTAGTAGTACACAAATATTTACCTAAGTTAATTAGTAAGAATCACTGATACATTTTTATCCTCCACTAAGACAAGTCAATGGAAATAGGTTTAATATCCAAAGAACACTTTTATGCTATCTCTAAGACATTTTAGGGTTTTATTGTTCTTGCTGTATAACATTTTAACTTTAAGTAAACAAAATAATTTTTTCCTTTGAATCTGGCGTTGAAAGGAAATATAGTAATACTGTACTATATTTTCTTATTTTGTTTTGGTTTTTTCATTTGTTTGGTTTGTTTTAGGTTTTGATTGATTTTTTTTTTTTTTGAGACAGGGTTCTCTGTATAGCCCTGCCTGTCCTGGAACTCCATATGTAGATCAGGCTGGCCTCAAATTCACAGAAATCTGTCTGCCTCTGCCTCCAGGGTGCTGAGATTAAAGGTGTGCGCCACTCCACCCAGCTTTAAAAGGGTTTTTTATATGTAGCCTTTCGTAACTCTTTAGTAAACCATTTGTGTTCGGAACTCATCTGTCTATTCCATATATATTGTTTGCTAATTTAAAGGACAGAGCATTTCCTAGTGTACACGTTAAATCATTCCTCTAAATGGTGACCTTTGATTTTGCTAATGTAAGCAGAGCTTTCATAATGGATATCATGATATGCAGGTCTGTGTACACGCATGTTTTTGAAAGAGAAATGAAATGTATGTGTATTTAATATTATAAAACTTCATGACTTTCTCCCTTTTTTTTTTTTTTTGTTTTTTGTTTACAGAGTTCCACTACATAGGCTTACCCAGGTTCATGCTCACTGTATAAGCCAGCTTTAAACTCATGTGTGATCTTCCTGTGTCGACTTCCGTCGACCTGTTCAGATCTTATCTGCTGGACCTGGGATCTTAGAACCTGAAAGAATGAGGCAGACTGCAGTCTGATAATGTAGACAGCCTTACTTCAGTTTTAATGGACTTTTATACACAATGTAACAAAGAAAGCAATGATCCAAGGAAGGTTGTTTGAGATCAGAAAAACGTGTAAATAAATGTCAGTGAGCACATACTAAATATCGACAGAGCAGCCTTTTCCGGAACTTTCTCAGGACAGACCCATTTAAACACAATTGTCTGGCACATACTATAGATTGTTTCTGGGAAAGCACAAAAGCAACGCAGAAGACCATATCCAGATTCAGGGTACACTGACCAGATTGGGTTCTATAGCTATGATCTGACATCCAACACGAATAAGCATGTCTTTTAAATTGATGTAAATGTTTGTCATGGGAGGCACGAAATCACATCCAAGAACCCTCCAGGGAATAAAATGCACCTGAGGTAAAAGGCCCTCTGCCTTTTCTCCTGGAGCCTCTCTCAATAGTTCCCCAAGGCACTGGTCACCACGAGTCCTGACCACGTTCCAGGACACCTGCCTCTGCCTCCTGAGTACTGGGCTTCCAAAGCTGTGCCGCCATGACTGCTTTGTAAGTGTTTTACTTTGCTTTTTTAGGTTTCAATATAACTGCAGGGGTTGATGAAGAGACGGGATTTGTCTATGGAGGAAATCGCTTCAACTGTGGCACATGGATGGATAAAATGGGAGAAAGTGACCGAGCTAGAAACAGGGGAATTCCAGCCACCCCAAGGTAGAGTTCATTTCACAATACTTCCGCGATGATGCTCTGTAATTCACCATACTTTCTCAAACATACTTACTCATGCAGTCTTCTGTTCTACTTCCCATGATCTCATGTTGAATCACTCCAGCTCTGTCATCCCTCTTCCCTCTCTTCCCTTTCCTCCTCTACTCATCCCTTCCTTTCCCCGTTATACAGATTAGCAGCCCTCTGGGTCTAAGTCATCCAGGAAAGTGGTCTGTTCTCATCCAGGAGATCTTACAATTTTTGCACCCCTACAAGAATCCCAAACATTTTATAATTCATTATCCCAATGGTTAAGACATTTTCTTTAAAATCAAAAAAAATTACAGTTGTCTGTGGAGTGTGTGTGTGTGTGTGTGTGTGTGTGTGTGTGGAGGGGGTTGTGTACATGCCACAACACATGTATGGAGGTCAGAGGACAACATGTGGGACTCAGTTCTCTCATTCCACCATGTGGTTCTCCGGTCATCAGAAAAGCAAGGGCCTCTGCTCGCTGAGCCATCCCACCATCCCAGTTGACATTAAGACATTTCGTAATCTGAACTTCGTACAATGTAAAGATTTTGTTACGCCTATATTTACAAGTATGGAAAATAACTAATGGGAATTGATCTTTTAAAAATGTTTCTTCTCTGGGTAGTGTTGGTTCATTCTTTTAATCCCAGCATTCGTGTGGCAGATCTCTGAGTTTGAGGCCAGCCTGGTCTACAGAATGATTTCCAGGACAGCCAAAGCTACATAGAAAAACCCTGTCTCAAAAAAAATCAAAAGAGAAATCCTGTCTCAGAAAAAAAAAGTTTTTATTTTCTGAAACTTTTGTCTGTAATTTTGTTATTTAAGGGGTTTTCATTTATGGCTTCAGAAGTTCTTGATTCTGAGTGAAGCTCAGAAACTATTTTCTACTTAAAAAAAAATGAATCTACACACCTTATATGTGTGTAGATTCTCTTAGAAGCCAGAAGAGGGCATTGGAGGTACAGGCACTTGTGAGCTGCCCACTGTGGGTGGTAGGAACTGAACCACGATAACCCCCAAAAAGCAATATTTGCTTTTAATCGATGAACCATCTCTTTATCCCAGAAGCTGTTATCATATTAAAGATTTGTATCTTCAAACAGATCAGTTAAACTAAATAGGAAGACCTTGTCTCAGAGATAATAAATAGATATGCTAGGAGGGGCTAGGGAGATGACTGAGCCATGAAGAGAGCTCGCTGCGGTTACGAAAGTTCATTTCCTAGCACTCACGGCAGGCGGCTTACAACCAGATACAACACCAGTGCTGGGAGATCGAGCACTCTCATGGACTCTGTGGGCACCCACACATGTGGCACATACCCATAGAGACAGACACATGTATACACACAAAGTAAAAATACAAATGTCTTTTTTTAATGTTAGGAACATAAGCAATGCCAAAATAGCAAGGGAAGAGATTTCTTATATGATATAATATATATTACTTATAAAGTAAAGATGTGGGGACAGATAATTGCTTATATGATGCATTGGTTATAATATTCACCAGCATTTATTGATGATGGTGGTGGTTTGGTTTGGTTCTGTTCTGTGTTACCCCAGTGACTTCCTTAATGCTAGACAAACATTCTACCACTGAGCTACATCCCCAATCCAAAATTACTTATTGAATGTCCTTTTAAATAATGACTAAATAAGTTTAACATAGAAAATAAATCTTTTTACTTTTAGAGACGGGTCTGCTGTGGAAATCGTGGGCATGTGTAAATCTGCTGTCCGGTGGTTGCTAGAATTATCCAAGAAAAATATTTTCCCTTACCATGAAGTCAGAGTGAAAAGGGATGGTAAGCCGATCTGTTTCACGAGGAACCTACACAAGTTTTTAGCCTTTGTTTCCATCACTGGATTGAAGACCCAAAATTTTAAGAAGAAAGAAAAGTCATTAATTTACCAGTATGGGAATGATGCCAAAGCCGGCTACTAAGTCATCCCCACACACCTGAACGGAGAGAAGGAGGCAGCGAAGTGTTAGCCTCGTTATGCCTTTCTTTTCCCTCACTTCACGAGCAGGCTATGTTCCGTGAACAGTCTGGAGATCTTTGCATCTCTTCCCGGGACAGTTTCTATGCAACAGAAATAATGTTTGGGCTACCCATATGACTTTATACTCTCTAAAAAGTAAAAAAAAAAGTAGGTAAAGTTAATTGTATTTTTAACTCAATGTATGTGAAATGTTGTTCATCGTTTAATGAATATGAAGTTACTCCTGAGTCATTTTACATTCTTTTTAGGAGAGGTGCTGGTCTTTGAGTTTATAGCATATATATCTGCTGTCCCCAAAACTAGTATGTATCTTCCTTACAAGATAAATTATCTATGCTTTGAGAAATAGGGCTACTCTGGATGGAAATATCCACATTTCCCAAAGCATAGATAATTTATTCCGTTAGTAAGATACATGTGAGTCTTGGGGATAGCAGATATTTGGATGTTCTGGAGGTCTACAACTGCCGTGTCTTATTGCTTTTCAGGAAAGGTTGTGGCAGTCTCATATGATGAGTGGGACAGAAAACTACAGAACAACTTTGAAAAGCTGTTCCATGTTTCCGAAGACCCTTCAGATCCTAACGAGAAGCATCCGAATCTGGTTCACAAGCGTGGCATCTACAAGGACAGCTATGGAGCGTCTAGTCCTTGGTGTGACTATCAGCTCAGGCCTAATTTTCCCATAGCAATGGTCGTGGTAAGGGATGTGTTGCTTTCAAATTTCAAAAATGTTATGATCCCTTTACTAAAGGATATTCTTTCCTGTTTGACTTTAAGCTCCACTTAACCATGAAAAGTTACATAGTTTCAGGAATTATGTGTGCATATCACCTCTGGTCTGTAACATTTAGTGTCAAAAATAGAAAGCAATGGGTGATGAGAACAAAATGTTAACCAGTGTTTCTGCAGTGCTTGGAACCTGTACGGTACACTGGGCTGAATGGCTCCGGCTGCTTAGGCAGACCAGAGGCTGCAGTTAGCCTCAGCCCTCACCCTTTCCTCCTGAAGGCTGCGGGCATTTGTATTCACAAGCTGGTGCCACAGACAGCTCCCCAGCAAACCAATCAGACAGTTCTGTACAGGCAGCTAACGGTCATGTCTGTCTCCTTTGCGGTTTCCTCTAATGCGTTCTATTTGGCTAAGAATGTTTTAAATTATTCATTTATTTATTCATTTGGTATTACATGTTATTACTTATTATTATGAATTATTATGATAATTTATTTAACGTTATTATTTTGTTGGTGGGGGGTGTTTTGCCTGCATGTGTATCTGTGCACCATGAACAAGCAGTACCGCCAGGGGCCAAAAGAGGGCACAAGATCCCCCGAACCTGGCGTTATAGACTGTTGTGAGTCACCATGTGGGTGCTGGGAATCAAACCTGTGTCCTCTAGAAGGGCAACCACTGCTCTTAACTACTGAATCATCTCTCCAGCTACCTAGCTAAGAATTCTTGACTCTCTTTTGTTGTGAAGTCTCAGTCTAAAAATAAACCCTTAAGGGCAGTGGACTAGGAAAACTGTTTATCCATGCAGAATATTACTAATTATAGTGGAATGAAAATGCAAGCTTGGTTTGGTTCATTTTTCACTTCACTTCACTGTTAGAGTGGATGCTGGTTTTCTCCCCTCCCACATATCACAAGAAAGTACTTACACTGTTGGAGTACAAGTTCCTCTAATTCATTATGGCCAAGAAGAGGGGGGAAAGTTCAAGTACCTTTTGGTTTTTTCTCTTGGTTTTTTGTTTTTTCAAGACATGTTTCTCTCTATATCCCTGGCTGTCCTGGACCTCACTCTGGAGACCAGACTGGCCTCAAGCTCACAGAGATCCACTGCCTCTGCCTCCCAATTAAAGTCATGTGCCACCACTGCCTGGCAGTTCAAATACTCTTAAAGGGTGCTTCTGCGAGTCTAGAAATAAAGTGATGGGTTAAGGTGAGCTCTGCCTTTATGGTAGCTAGAGTTATCTTTTGGCTCTGGTATTCCTTCTTGCCATATCCCGGGGGAATGGTCACTCTGTGAGCTTTCCTGGCTTCTCCGACTGGGAAAGGCAATTCGGGTCCAGCCTTGTAGGATTAGATTTGTCTGGTATCCACTCTCAAATTCTGATCCACACCATATCCTTACTTTTTTTTCTTTCTTTTCAATGTTTGTAGTTGAATAGGTAAGAACTGATGTTTGTTGTTTTTTTTTTTTTGCTTGTTTTACCCTTTGCGTGTTAGGCCCCTGAACTCTTTACTGCTGAAAAGGCTTGGAAAGCTCTGGAAATTGCAGAAAAAAAATTGCTTGGTCCTCTTGGCATGAAGACATTAGATCCAGAGTGAGTTGGAATATGAATATTAAAAAACTGTTGATATTGCATGTAATTCACACAGATTAGTATTAGCCATTCTATACTTGTTTACAAATAACTTCTCAAAAACTGCATTCAAACTCTTGAAATCATCTGCCACTTGATTGTGTGTGAGTGCTAAACATGCTCTGGTTTCTCCTATCTTCACGAATTAACTTACAAGTTTGACTATATAAAACAAATGTCATGAATTTTTTCTTTTCTGACTGTAAAAGTAATACATGATTATTGAAGATGTTAAAAAAGTACCAACAATATGTAAAGAAAAAGAAGTTACTTTAAATCCCTTTATCCAAGAATCAAGCATCATTCCATTCCTATCTATTAGCCAAATCATTTCTACTCATTTTTGTATGGTTTATGTCCATATAGTCACAATTCTAGGAGAATTTGTATAAAAGACTCGGGTGTGGTGCCTCACATTTGAGTCCTGGTACTGGGGAGTCTGAAGCAGGGTGATCACAAGTTCGAAGTCAACCTGGACCACTTTCCAGGTCCTGTCTCAAGAAACAAAACAACAAAATCAAACCTGAGGACAGTGGCTCAGTACAGTGACACCAGCACTTGGAGGCTTTAGAAGGAAAGTTGCTGGTTATCCCAGGCCAGCTTGGGCCACATGAGTTCCAGCTACCTCAGTTTGTCTAAAAAGGAACAAAAGCAAGTTTATTTAAAAAGAAGAAACAAAGAGAAAAAAAGCAAAAACCCAACTTCATAGGGATGTACCTCACTGGTAATGTAGTGTGTGGGAGGGTGCCCTGGATTTAATCCCCGGTATCATTCTCACAAAAAAGTTTCACGAGTTCAATTCCCAAGACAACAAAAATAAATGATTTTAAAAATAGTTCTTGGATGGCGAGATGGCTCAGTGGTTAAGAACACTGACTGCTCTTCCAGAGGTCCTGAGTTCAGTTCCCAGCACCCACATGGCAAGTCACACCTGTCTGTAACTCCAGTTCCCACTGCCTTCACAGAGATATACATGCAGGTAAGACACCTATGTACATAAAATAAAATTAAATAATTAAAAAAATAGTTCTGGAGCCCAGCAAGATGGCACATACCTGTACCCAGCACCTGGAAAGTTGACACAGGAGAATCGGAAGTTCATGATCATCTCCCACTGTCCAACCAGTTTGAGACCTGCCTGGCTACAAGAGAGCCTGTCTTGGGGCCGGGAGAACTGTTGGGGGGACGTAGCGGCAGAACACATGCCTACTGCATGCAAGACCCTGGACAAGTTCCTAGCAACACACCCACAAGTAAAGGCCATCCTCTCTGTAATGTGTGAGTATTTTGCCTTCATGTATGTCTACGTGCCTACGTGCCACATGCAAGTCTGGTGCCCTTGGAGGCCGGAAGTCAGAGTGGATCCCCTGGAGCCGGAGTAACACATAGCTGTGAACCACCGCGAGAGTGCTGGGATTGAACCCAGGTCTAATGCAAGAGCAGCAGGCACTCTTAACTGCTGAGCTATCTCTCCAGGCCCTCAAAGACAGTTGATAGTTCTTCCATCATGCTGATAATGTGCAACTGCCTGGGCTATTTTAAATACTGGTCATTATCTAGTCGCTTGTAGTGATGGTAAAAGAGCTTAATTGCGTTCTTTACCAGCAATCTTTCTATATAACTATACCACTCTTTACTTAAATCAGTAAATAACTTTGTTTTCAGTTTACAATTTCACACACACACACACACACACACACACACACACACACACACACAAGCGTGCACATGCAATACCCACAGAGGCCAGAAGAGGACATTAGATACCTTAAAACTGGAGTTGCAGATAGTTGGGAGACATGTGGATGCTGGGAATTGAACCCTCATCCTCTGGAAGAGCAACCAGAGCACTTAGCTGATCCAGTTTCTACTTTACTATGTACTGATTTCCACTACGGAGTCTAGGCTGGCCTGGACTCAGAAATCTGCCTGTCTCTGCATCCTGAGTTCTGGATTAAAGTCATGTACCACTATGCCTGCCTTTTTATATGCTGATTACATTGTTTTTTGGTTTTGTTTTTTGTCTTTTAGTTTTGTTTGTTTGTTTGTTTGTTTTCAGTTTTCTGAGATAGGGTTTCTCTGTGTGATAGCCCTGGCTGTTCTAGAACTCACTTTGCAGATCAGACTGGCCTCAAACTCACAGAGATACACTTGCCTCTGCCTCCAAGTACTGGAATTAAAGGCTTGTGCCACCATGCCCGGCTCTATTTTGATTTTTGAGACAGAATCTTATATCACTGAAGCCAACATTCAACTACTGATCTCCTGCCTCAATCTCCCAAGTTCCAGAATTAGACACACCATCATGCTTGGATTGATATCATTTTTATATGCAAAATTATATATGCAAATATTTGTCATTTTCTGTATGCTTACATATTCAGAGCAGATTAAACACTGGTTGGGTGTACACACACAGGAAGATCTCTCTGAGTTCAAAGCTGGCTTGTTCTATTGAGAGAGTTCCAAGTCACCATTGCCACACAGTGAGACCCTGTTTCAAATTCCTGCTCCTGAAAAACAAACAGAAAACCTGCTAATAGGAACTAAAAGTTATGGTAAAAACATGTGTAGCCATTTTGTATCACTAAACAGTATTTTAGAAGTTATAATTTAATTAAATCTTAATATGTATAACTCATCTATTGATAATATTTGTAACACTGTCCACTGTATAACTATGTTATAAATTCTATCTATTATGGCAGTATGTATATTTGTTATGATCTGACAATATGCTAATTTTAGTTTTAAAATAGCTTCATAGAGAAGTTTAGAATAGAACCTTACATGGACTAAGGATGTAGCCAATCATGGGATGTCTGCCTATCACAGATAAAGGCCAAGGTTTGATCAATAGGCACCACAAGATAAATAATTTGCATAAATAAGTGGCTTTCTGCTCTATAATCAATAAAACCCATCCTTAATATTTATTGATTCAAATAACTGTATGGACGTTTTAATTGTTATGTACTTTTTCTAGGTTTTTGAGACAGGGTTTCTTTGTGTAGCCTTGACTGTCCTGGAAACATAGTCTATAAAACAGGCTGGTCTCAATCTCACAGAGATCCGCCTGCGTCTGCCTCCCAAGTGCTGGGATTAAAGGCGTGCACCACCACCTCCCAGTGTTACATGGGTTAAAAATCTAGTGAAATGGTTAAGCTATAGACTAGCTCCCTGAAGACAAGATGCCTCAATATTTTTATTATTTTTTAAATTAGCATACAAAGTCGTAGGTGTAATTATGGCATTTTCCGTACATATTTCTGTGAAGCCTGCTCTCGAATTTCCCTGACCACCTGTCATTCTTCCTCCCGCCTCATAACCCTCATGAGAGTGGCTCTCAATCTTCCTGTCCCTTTCCTTTGTACTTCCTCCTCTAGTGTCATGACCTACACCTATATATAAATTAACATCTGAGCTGTAAATACGAAAGGAAACATACTATACTTGCCTTCTTGTTAATGTTTCCTGAACACATTATACAGTCCTCTGCACTCGTTGTATACTGATTTTGTATGTGTAATACACTGATGCTGAGTGAGCGAGCTCTACAGATTGGGAGAGAAAATGAGTATTTTACTGTTGAAATTTTGATGCCTCCTCTATGATGCTGACCTTTTACTGACCTCAAACCCCAATCATTTTGCAGTGATATGGTTTACTGTGGAGTTTATGACAATGCCTTAGACAATGACAACTACAATCTCGCTAGAGGTTTCAATTACCACCAAGGACCTGTAAGAATTTCATTTCTCTTTTCAGAATTTTCAGTTTAAGTAGGTTTTGAAATGCATCTAGATATTCCTAATTCTTTTTTCCCTCCATTTTGAAATCATATTTTAGGAGTGGCTATGGCCTATTGGGTATTTTCTTCGTGCAAAGTTGTATTTTTCCAAATTGATGGGCCCAGAGACTGCTGCAAAGACTGTATTTTTGGTTAAGAATGTCCTTTCCAGACATTATGTTCATCTCGAGAGGTGAGTTACTACATGACTAATGGCCAGACAGTGTGTTATAGATCAGGTACACAAGGTTTCCTCCTCAGAACCCATTTCTGCTTGCTGAGTGCATCTGTACCTTAATTCCACTGTGTAATTTTTACCTCCCTTAAGTACTTTGGTTTTAATTTGAGGATCTTATAGTTTATTATCTGTATTTGTAGAATAGTCTTTAATTTTCAAGATAGCTGATAAATTGGATTTGATTAGGATACATAAAAATAATTGAAATATTCAGGTTGGGCTTTTTGAGGTGATTTAGTTATCAAATCATAGTTTTCATTTCCTTAAATATCAGTTGGTCTCTTGACTGTTATTTCAAGTGGTATTTCTTATTAATTAAACTGTCAGTGCTGTGTATTTCTCTAAGATGGTACAAACTCAAAATCTACCTTCATTTCTCAACATCTAGATCATGCCTAAATGGTACTCCTTCTGATTGCTTAGACTAAATGCATAAGTGGCCTGCACTGCCTCTGCCTCCTTACCTGAAATGCCCCAGCAGTCTGTGTAGTGACGCTGAGATCCGTCACTAGTTACGTAACTTCTGTACATCATGAGATGATGCCCCAGCAGTCTGTGTAGTGATACTGAGATCCATTACTAGTTATGTAACTTCTGTACATCATGAGATGATGCCCCAGCAGTCTGTGTAGTGACGCTGAGATCCGTCACTAGTTACGTAACTTCTGTACATCATGAGATGATGCCCCAGCAGTCTGTGTAGTGATACTGAGATCCGTCACTAGTTATTTAACTTCTGTACAGCCCTCTTCTCTCTTTACTCGTAGTTCCAAGCCAACCAGGGCTACACAGGAAAACCCAGCTCAAAAAAAAAAACCAACATAAAAAATAACAATGAAAGATTCATTTGCATTTGCTAGTATTAAATCACAAAATATATCAAAGGATAATGCATATCTAAATTATTTGTATATATACTTTAGAATACTGTTTTATTTTATAACAAATGAAAGAATGATTGATTCTATAGTAAAAGGCAAAAATCATCAGGACTTGCCTATATCACTCATATGCATTAAATTATACCTCATAAAATGCTTTCATTTTTTCTCAGATCCCCATGGAAAGGACTTCCGGAACTTACCAATGAGAATGGCCAGTATTGCCCTTTCAGCTGTGAAACACAAGCTTGGTCAATGGCTGCTGTTCTTGAAACTATCTATGATTTATAAATGGCTCATAGATATTTAGTAAGTGTGTGAACACTTGGTATCATTGAATACAAGGTCATAATGAAATATAAGCTTAACTAATTTTAAAAATCTCATTCATAACCAGGCAGTGGTGGCTCACACCTTTAATCCCAGCACTTAAGAGGTAGAGGCAGGCAAATCTCTGTGAATTTGAGGCCAGCCTGGTCTACAGAGCAAGCTACAGGACAGCCAGGGCTACACAGAGAATCCCTGTCTTAAACAAAACCAAACCCAAACAAAAAAATTAGTATTTTTCTTTCCTTTTTTTTTTTTTTGACTATTTTTCTTAAAGAGTATCATGTGTGCCACCACACCCAGTGTGGGCCATACTAGGGACGACACCCAGGGCCTTACGCTATGTTAGACGAGCACTCTACCAAATGAGCTACATCCCCTGCCTTTTTTTTTTTTTTACATTCGTTTGATTTGAACCAAAGAAAAGTGATCATTTCCCGTAGAAGGTTACTACTGTTGTGTTCAGAAAGAACTCTTCAGAAGAAAGGAAAGCATGCTTCGTCTTGAGCGTGCACAGGTGTGGAGGTGGACAATGGAGAGGTGCCCTAAAGCCTGCTGTGTATTGGGTACCCCACAGACTGTGCGCCACTGGTGGCCTATCGTTTGTTACAGCATTCTTAAGCTCATTTCTAAGTGCTCTCTGAATATAGAATAATAGAAGTATTCACCTACATGTGAATCATGGATGGAGCACAGAGCTTCAAAATGTGCTTAATTTTCACGGATAAGTTATGTTTTTAATACAATGGATGCCAATTACACTTAACATGATTTATTTGGATATATGAAACAGAGCATTAGGTCATAAAACAATTCTGTAAACTTAGTCATGACTAATGTCCATGGAAATTACTGGGCATATTTACGAGAATTTTACAGGGGGAAGGAAGCCTACAGATGAAGCTTGGTGGCAGAGTGCTTGCCTAATATGTGTTAAAGCCCTGAGTTCTATCCCCAAAACCACCAAGAAAGGAGGCAGGGAAGTATGGAGGGGAGGAAGAGAGGGAGGGAGGGAGGGAAGAGAAAGAGGAAGGATTTAAAATATAGCCATACTAGGTTATCTACAATAGGCTCACAACCCACCTCAGAAAGTGTTTAGGGTACAGTGCTCCTATTGAGGGTTATTAATGAAAGAACAGTACTGTGTTTTGCATGGCCTTGAAAGTCTCAGAAGGTGTCTTCTACGGTATCCCCGCCACAGGAATGAAAGTGATGCTTTTAAACTGTGAAAGGATAATTGCTGCTTGACTGGAGAGCACTTAGGTAGAAGAACACTTCATTCCTGCGGGATGCTACATAAAGTGTTATCTTCATTTTACATTTCACAAATGCTCTGTGCCTTGGCTTTTCACTTATCCAAATCAATCTTTCTCTACTAAATGAAAGTAAACTACCAGTTTATCCAGTATGCTGTGACATCTTAGCGAGTTCTCAGAGATGACTGAGGAGACATGAAGCCTGTTGTTTTGATGAGTGTTGTCACCTGTGGTAATCATTACTACTGTGTCTTAAGCTGCTTTGTCTAGTGAGCAAACGTTTATATGTCTGTGTGTCAAAATAAAAGTCTTTTCTGAAGACTCCCTTTGCTTTCATCATTTACCAATTCCTTTTCCATCATTGGTGAGTGATACTCAGAGATGTGGATGCATGGAGATATTCAGCCTGTGACAGAAGCAGAGAAGAGGGAGATTTAGGGCGTTCAGAGATTATTTAAAGTAACCATGCCAAGATTAGGAGTGAACTAAGCTTTAGACATGTCCCTAAGTCTGTTAGCAGCTGTATTCCTTTGATGGATCTTGAATATGGTGATGTTTGTCGACATTTTACCAACTCACAAATACAGTAGGGAATGGATGTGATATGAACACTTACGTTTTGAAAAACCCAAAGACATTTTTCACTTTCAATTATATTAGTGAGCAATGTAAACACATGGACTAGTTAGTATCTAATAACCAAAGCTGATCCATCCTGGTTTTGCCTTGCTTACTGTTGCTTCATTTTCCTAAACTACAGATCGTGTGTTTTTAGATTAAAGATGCTAACCTAAGACTCTATAATCCCCAAATGGTCCTAAATGGGTCAGCCAAACTTGCTGCATTTACTTACTGAAACCCTCCGTGCACCAGCATAGTTCATTCAGAGAATCAACATAGTTGATTTTTGCCATTATTTTCTATTTCTGTCAAGCCCAGATGATAAGGGAATACTGAAGTGTTGCCGTTAGAGCCAATGGTTTTTGTTTTTGTTTTTTAATATATTTGGTTTCATTAATTTGGGTGGGGTGGGTGTCTAACTTAGAAAGCTTTTTCATTTTCTTTAATCAGGTCTCGTGATCCCATCTATGCCTTCTAAGTTTACTGTCTCTGTATTCCGTCACTTCTGTTTCCTCTTGGGCCTGTGTGGGTCCCGAAGCAACATCTGCTACAGCTGCATCAGGTGCTTGTTGGAGTCACCTCCCTACCTCTGTTGTTTAACTGCTCTTGTCCATTTACTGCCAACCTCTGTCGTATCGTACTCCCTCCGCAGCGTAGTGACTGACCCCAGGCCTTGTGGTCTACCACTGAACTAAAACCTTTTCCCACACCTTCTCTCACCAGTCCCCTACTCTTTGTTTTCAGAACCGTGTTCCATTCTTGTAGCTATTTGTTTTTCTGAAGTGTTATTCCAGATCCTGAAATTACTAGCATTTTAATAAAGTTATATGTATACTGTAAATACGTTTGATAAGCACTAACATTTACATTAATCTCGTAACCTAAGGACTAGACCGTCTATGCTCTTTTGCTCCTTAACTTCCTAGAGTTTATGCTAAAGATTTCTGTGATCAGTTTTGGTTTGTCTTAATGTTAAGCCAGTTGATCAGAAAAAGAAATTAAGATTCACCTGCCTCTGTGAGTTCAAGGCCAGCCTAATCTACAGAGTGAGTTCCAGGACAGCCTCCAAAGCTAGAAAGAAACCCTGTACCAAAAAAAAAAAAAAAAAAAAAAAAAAGGAAGAAAATAAATTAAGATTCTACAAACATATATAAAGTTCCTACTATGTGGCTGGCCATTTATATCACAGGTATTACCCATTCTTTCTAAATGAGAATACTACCCTAAGTCACACAACTAATAAAATTATTGGGACAAAATCCAGTCCCTGATCTTCAAAGCAGAAATACTCTTTCAGAGAGTCTTCAGGTTGTAGTATGGATGTGTGCTCAGGGGTCCAGCTGTGGCTTGCCTTCAGACTTCCTCCCACTGTGTGTTGAGTCCAGCCTTGGCAGTTATTACCTGCCCCTGATTGTGGGAAGCATTAGGTCCCATTCCGATGGAGTCTGTTTACACCACTGGGAAAACTTTGCAAATAGAACTATCATATCAAAGATGATGGAAGTCAGAGGCCACAAGAAACATATAGCTGAGAGGTAGCACAAAGCTCAGAGTTGGCACTACAGAATTTAGCCAGGAGTTAGATCCCATGCTAAGTGTGCTTCAATCAGAAAAAGTAAGTCCTGTCTGTGGAAGAAGTTCACCAGTGAACATGGCACTTAATTCTGCAAATGTTCAGGTTAAGCCATTTATGGCAGTTAGCATACTTTGAAAGTAGGGAACTGTCCTTTTGTTGTTTTGGGACAAGGCCTCAAACAATGAGCCCAGGATGGCCTGGAATTTACTGTGTAACCCAATCTGGCCCCAAATTCATGGCAATCCTCCTGCCTTAGCCTTCCAAGTACTGGGATTGTAAGTGTATCTCTGGCAGTATTTTCCCACTGCAGGAACTGTTGACTTGAACCCCAACACACACACACACACACACACACACACACACACACACACACACACACACACACAAGAAAGACCCAAAACCCCAAAATATAACTACCTGTATTTCAACAATAGATAATGCCGAAATTCTGACTCATGAAAAAAAAAGTTAAGGCTTTTTTTTTAAACCATACATTTAGCAATAATGTATAGAGAATTCTTCTAAGCTTGTTTAGGTCTCTTTGTATAAGAATGCCTATAAAAAGTACTTGAGAACTGAATTTCTGTTACAAAGATAAGACTCCAACCGCCTTCAAATTGTTAGCTTATGGAACAAGAAGCCCAGTAAACAGAAGGGAGGTACTTCCTCCTTGCAAAATGTTTACATTGGAGATGCTGAAAGGCTAGCTCTGTGTTCTCAGGACTGTAAAATGTATAAGCATTTTGATAGGTCATACCAGATTAATCTCCTCTCTCTAGTTGAAAAGGAAAGCAATTGTTTACATTTTGTTTGTGACCAATCTTGAAATCACTCTGGTAGTCAGGGCACATATGCTACAGAATTTTTCAAAAATACATGACTTGGACAAAGGATATATCTCAGTGGTAGAGTACTTGCCTGGCATGTGTAAAGCCCCTTTCAAAAAAGCTTTTTCAAAAAAATACAATTCTATTATATGTACAATGTCTGTGCATGCCTGGTGTTCACAGAGGCCAGAAGAAGGCCTGGAGTGAGAGACAGTTGTGAGCTGCCATGTGGGTGCTGGAAATCGAACCCAGGTCCTCTGGGAGAGCAGCCAGTGTGCTTAACTGCAGAGCCATCTCTCCAGCCTTTATTTTTTTTAATTGTGTCTCTGAGTATGGACGGGTGAACATAAATGCAATGCCCATGACGGACAGAAGAGGGCATTGGATCTCCTGGAGCTGGAATTAGAGGTAATTGTAACCCACTCAACTTGGGTGCTGGGAACTGAACTCTGGACCTGTGTGACAGCAGTAAGTGCTCTTAACTGCTGAGCCACTTCTTCTGTCCCAAGGCCCTGTTTTTAACCCTTACCACCACTGCCAAATAAAGAAGAAAAAAAGGTGAGGTAATGACTATACTACTAATTTTAGGAAGAGAAGCCTATAAGTATGGTCCTTTTCTCCTGGAATAATTATGATATCAAGTTTTATCAAACAAGATATAAAAGAATTACCTTGACATCAAATTCTACTTAATGTTAAGAGAAGTCTAAGGGTTTCTATTGCTGTGGAGAGACACTATGAACACAGACACTTACATTAGAAAAACATTTAGTTGTGGTGACTAAACATTTTCAGAGTAAGTTTAGTCCATTGTCATCATGGTGCCTCCTAGTGGCTTGCAGACAGACCTCATGCCAGAGACAGAGCAGAGAGTCCTTCACCTTGCACAGGCAACAGGAAGTGGTCTCAGTGTCACACTGAGCCACGTTTGAGCAAAGGAGACATCAAAGCCACCCTCACAGTGACACACTTCCTGCAACAAGGCCACAACTACTCCAACAAGGCCACACCTCCTAAGAGTGCCACTCCCTTTGGGGGCCATTTTCTTTCAAACCACTACAAGGGAGAAGAAAAAGAACCTAGATATGTTTGAACGATTGCTTTTTGGTGACTTTTGTTCTGCCGCATTTTCTGCAAATGATCACTAAATAGGAGCTCAGTGAGAGCACTGATGGACTGCCCACGGGTGGGAAGGTTTGTTATAAATATGAAACGATTGCATGGCTATCTCCCAGGTTATGAGAGACTAGCCAGAGGTATTTGGGGGAGTCCAAAGCTACCCTAGCTCCCTCTTGAGGGCAGAAAGAATAGCAAAACAAGTAGGGAGGTCTTGCCAGTTATAAAGAGAGCAGGTAGCTCAAGGGCAGGGGATGGAAGCTGTAAGCTGGAACAGCCTGGAAGTTTAGGACTAGAAGATCCTAGTGGCTTTGATATGCATTTCAGGTATGTACGTGTTAATAGGAAGCTAGATGCCCCATTTGCTGAGGCAGGGGAGATGAGAGAAGCAGCTATTTCTGGTAGGTGGAAAACCATTTCATAGATGTTGTGGAATATTTGTTTAATGATGCAAAGATGTGTTGCATTCTTTTATGTTGCATTTGTTTAACTCAGTAAAGCTGTGTTACCGTGCCTGCCTAAACACCTGATTGGTGTAATAAAGAGCTGAACAGCCAATAGCTAGGTAGGAGAAAAAACCAGCAGGGCTAGCAGTTAGAGAGAATAAATAAAAGGAGAAATCTAGGCTTGGAAAAGAACAGGGAGGAGCGAGAAGAAGAGGATGCCAGGGCCAGCCACCCAGCCACAAAAAAAAAAAAAAAAAAAAAACTACACACAGGTTTCTGAGGGATGCTAAGAGTCATTTTGGGGTTTGGGACTTAACAATCACAAGTGGTTGCTATGTCTTTTCTAGTCAAATGTATTTTTTTCTAAAAACTGTAAAAGCAGCTTCACATCAAGCATGCTTTTTGTATTCTCATCAGGACTCACCAATAGCAAAGTTGTAAGCAGGGCTGTGGTGGTACACGCCTTTAATTGAAGCACTTGGATTACAGAGCAGATCTGTAGGCAGGTAGATCTACAGAGGTTCAAGGCCAACGTAGTCTATAGGGCAAGTTCCAGGACTGCCAGAGCTACACAGAGAAACCCTGTTTCAAAAAAAACAAAACAAAACAAAAACAAAAGCACACTTATAAGCATCAGTTATCAAGGTTGTCTATTTTTTATTTTTATGTTCATTTGTGTTTTGCCTATGTGTATATCTGTGTGAAGGTGTCAGATTCCTGGAACTGGAGTTACAGATTGTTGTGAGCTGCCATGTGGGTGCTGGGAATTGAACCCAGGTCCTCTGGGAAAGCATTCAGTGCTCTTAACCACTGAGTCATCTCTCCTACCCCAAGATTTTCCATTTACATCAAGATATTTCTTTCCTCTTTTCTCCTTAATTGAGGAGATCAGACCATACTACCTCATGGGTTCCCAAAGATTCTAGACTTGTAGGGCCCGTCACCAAGTGTCAGTTCTTCACTTTAGTAAGGCTAGGGGCACTGTAAACAAGGTAGTAGGCCAATTTTTCTTTAAGGTAATTTATTGGCTTTGTAAAGTTAACCTCGATTCCTGGAAACTGTCATGTCCTATTTGTCTCCATATATATAACATTCACAAATACTATCTCTGAGTATATAACCATGAGAACAGATTATTACTGAAATCACTCAAATAACTCTATTTACATGAAAATAAGGATACGTGATAAAATTTTCTAAATTCTAAAGGAATCACATAGAGAAAAAGAAAGGTTTTATTTTAAATTTTTAATGACATATCACAAGAATATTGTAAGGTATAGACTACCTATTGTTTGAATGTGTGTTCCAAACCTCTCATGGAAATACAGTTATCATGGTATGCAGTCATTAAGAGATGAGATGGTGTATGTGAGAGAGATAAAGAAAGATGTTTGTACAGTTGTATGTACATTTGCGTGTGCGGTGTGTGTGTGTGTGTGTTTGTGAATATCTGAAGTTGATATCCAATATCTTCTTCAATTACTTTCCAGCTTATTTTGTAAGCCACTGGTCTCTCACTAAAGCTGGAACTTACTGATTCAACTAGACTAGCTGGGCAGCCAGTGAGCTCCCAGGACCCACATATTTCTGCCTCCTCAGTGGTGGCCTTACAGACAAGTGCTGCTGCACCTGGTGTGTCCGCGCGCGCGTGTGTGTGTGTGTGTGTGTGTGTGTGTGTGTGTCCTGGGGATCCAACCTGAGTCCTCATGCTGTGCCACAAACAATTTAACAAGCACTTTTCAAACCCCAAGAGGGAGGGCCTCTGAGAGGTAGTTTACATAAGTGGTAACCACATGAAGGCAGTAAGGCCTTAATGTGGAAGATGGTTAGTTATCACAGGAGAGAGGGACGATTTGGACCTCTACTCTTCATCTCACATATGCTCATTTGCCCTCCACCATGGTATGACATGCCATGAAGGCCATGTGGTTACATGTTAGGTGTCAACTCATCTGGATTGGGGGTTGCTTAAATGACTGGTGAATCGTGGTATGGATGCGTCTGAGAATGTATCCAAAATTGAAGAGTATGTAGGCCAGCAAGTTGAGTGAAGGAGAGACTCCCTCAAAGGTGGAGACTATATTCCATCTGGTGGGATCCCTGATGGAAAGCTTCTTCCCCCCACCCCACCCACTGCCTTCTGGAGCAAAGGTCCTTCACCTCCTCCCCTTGGACATCAAAATTCTAGATTGCTTTGACTTTAGGACTCTGGACTTAGAATTTAGGACTCTTGTACAAGCCAGTCTTGTCCCAGCAATCTCTCTAAGCCTTGCAGACTTAGGCTTGGCCAGGTCACTTCTCTGCTTCTCCAGTTTGCAAATAACCTGCTGATCCCCATCCCATGAGTCTCTCTCTCTCTCTCTCTCTCTCTCTCTCTCTCTCTCTCTCTCTCTCTCTCTCTCTCTCTCTCTCTCTCTCAGAGATCCATCTGCCTCTGCATCCCCGAGGGCTGGGATTAAAATCAATTGCCACAGGCCCAGCTGCTTCTGTTTCTCTTGAAGAACCCTGATCTGGAGGAGGCTGTCACTATGGCAGCCTATCTAGCTTGGACTTGCCAGCCTCTGCAAGAGTGAGCTAAGTAAAGTTACTGTTGTTTATAATTTACTCAGCCTAGAGCCCAGCCTTGAGCCTCAAGGGTGGCACATGCCTTTAATCCAAGCACTTGGGAGGCAGAAAAAAGCAATTAGATGTCTGGGTTCTAGGTCAGCTTGGTCTACAAAGCAAGTTTCAGGGCAGCCAGGGCTATATCAGACACAGATGGAGAAGAAAAGAGAGGAAAAGATTGTATTAATCGGGAAATAAGGACAGTGACACTTCCAACAAAAAAGCACAGGTATCACTATCCTTTTCATTACTTCACAGATTCGTGGAGTCAGTCCATGCTCTGTTTGCTCCTGGTTTAATGGTTTTCTTTTTTTTCTTTCTTTCTTTTTTTGTTTGTTTGTTTGTTTGTTTGATTTTTGAGGCAGGGTTTCTCTGTGGCTTTGGAGGCTGTCCTGGAACTAACTCTTGTAGGCCAGGCTGGTCTCGAGCTCACAGAGATCCACCTGCCTCTGCCTCTGCCTCCGAGTGCTGGGATTAAAGGCATGGGCCACCACTGCCAGTGGGGTTAATGGTTTTCTGAATTGACCCTTTTCTCCATGGGAGTTTTGGAAATTCTTAAGTAGCTCAAAGGTCTGGTCCTTAGAATCCTCGGAGACTGTCCTTGTCAGAAACTTTTCCAGGAATTGATTGCAAAGGAAGCCTTTGGGGTTATAGGTGCTTTCAGAAGCTTTTTGAAGCAAAAGAAATTCACCATGTGCAGGTGACCAGAAACTTAAAACAATAATGGTTAAAACATAATGGATTAATAACCTAATGCATTGATAAGAGGTCTTGCTTATTTCCGTTATATGGTGTTTTAAGATCATTAGCACTATGATTGGTAACATTAAACTCAGATGTCAGGTTTTTGTACATTCTTTGTAATGTTTCTGTCAATAACAGACACCCATAAAATATATAAAGAAGAACAAACATCATTCATTTGACAATCTTTCCTATGAAGCTTTATCAAAGGAACCTAAATAATGTAACAATGAGGGGAGAGAACAAACCCATTGAGATGTCACAGGGGAACTTTTGGAAAATCCTGAAATTAGTCTGAGGTCACAATACTTCATTCAACTGGGTGTGATGGCACTCTCCTATAGTTCAAGCGACTGGAAGGCTAAAGCATGAGTATCATCATTTAAGTCCAAGAATTTGTGGCCATCCTAAACAACATAGTGAAGCCCAGTGACAGTTTGTCCCAGGACAAGTTAGCCCAGCCAGCCAGCTGTAGTTCCAATCTCACTGCCAACCTGTCTTATCATATAATTTACGTGCTATGAGGAAATGGGAGAAACCAAACCAAACAATATGACTGCTTCCAGCTGGCCAGGAAGATACAGGAAGCAATATCTGATGTGTGACTTTCCCAGAGAAGTATAGAAGACACATCCTCGATGGGACCATTAGCTCAAGGATGACTCACACGAGTCTAGATTGCTGAGGAAATTAGTAGATTGTGGGATATTTATGGAGTCATGGATGATTACAGAGGGTTGCATTTACTTGAATTCACTAAAATCTCACCCACCAGGGTCCCTATTTTAGATTCTAAATCCAGTACAGAATTAATGTAAATTTGGATTCAAGTGTAGCACCTAGTGTCAAAACAAACATGATGATAGGCTCAGTTAATATAAAACACAGACAAGCCAGACAGTGGTGGCAGACATCTTTAGTTCCAGCATTCGGGAGGCAGAGACTGGCCAATCTCTAAGTTCGAGGCCACCCTGGTCTACAGAGGGAGTTCCACAACAGCCAGAGCTACACAGAGAAACTCTGTCTCAAAAAACAAAACAAATAAGCAAACAAATAAAAAAGAACACAGACAAAACTAGATTCTATAAAAGTAGTGTATTTTTGTGTTCTCTGACTTTGCCCTTATTAGGATTCTTCTGGTCTTGGTAAACACTATGTGACGGTAGGAAAGCTGTTTTGCTGAGGTCTGCCATGTAGGAAAGCTAAATGGCAACCTGTCGTAACACTCCACCCCTTTCTCTGGCTCTTAAATGATTTCTGGCCTCTCTTCCAGGATGCTTGCTGATCTTTGGAGGGGATATTATATGTTAGCTTATTTTGCCTATAGTTGAATACTGAGTTGCTTGCTTTTTTATCCCCAAGGGGGCCTTGGGGATGAGGAGGAGGAGAAAAAATAAAAGAAGGAAGGAAAGAAGCTAGCTGTTGGATAAGAGTTTGATAAGTTCAAATTAAAGAAAGACGAGGCTTGGGGGGAGTGGGAGGAGAAGAGGGAGGGGAAACTGGGATTGGAATGTAAAAAAATAATAAAATAAAAAATCAAAACAAACAAAAAAAGAAAGTTGAGGCCAACTTAATAAATTTACTGGGGTTGGAGTGTAGCTCAGGGTAGAGCATGTACTTAGCATGAAATCAGGTCCTGTGTCCAGTAACCAGCATCAAAACTTAAACTGACTGTTAGATGAATGAATGGGTAAGTAAGTAGGTAGGTAGGTAGATAGGTAGACAGACAGACAGATAGACAGATAGATGTCAGTGGTAGAGTGCTTACCTAGCATGTGGAACCCTGATTGGATTCCAAGAACTGAGGGAAGAATACTGGTTTTGGCCCACATCACTACTTTGTTTTCTTATTTTTTTTCATTTATATGTATGTGTGCCCATATGAGTTCATGTGCCCATATGAGTTCATGTGTACTAACCATATACATATATTACACATAGAGGCCAGAAGAGAGTGTTGAATCCCCTAGAGCTAGTTATAGGTAGTTGTAAGCCATTCAGTGTGGGTGCTGGAGGCCAAATCCAGGTCCTTTTCAAGAGCAGTAAGTAATCTTAACCGCTGAGCCATTTCTCTGCCCTCCCCCCCCATTTTGTTTTCTTATCAAGCAATGTGGGTCTCTGATAAATATAAATAATTCAGGGGTAGACAAGACATTAGCCCACCTCTAAGAACTTGTAGAGCATAAAGTATCTGATTTTTTTATATTAGTAGCATTGTAACAGCCTAAATC